TATTCAGCCATAAGAAAGAAACAAATCCTACCATTTGCAACAACATGGATGGAGGGGGAGGATATTATGCTCAGTGAAATAAGCCAGGCAGAAAAAGACAAGTGCCAAATAATTTCCCTCATTTGTGGAGTATAACAATGAAGCAAAACTGAAGGAACAAAACAGCAGCAGACTCAAGAGACTCCAAGAATGAACTAGTGGTTACCAAAGGGAGGGGTGGTCAGGGAGGGAGAAAGGGATGGAGGAATATTATGTTTAGTACACATGGTGTCGGGGATCATGGGGAGAGCAGTGTAGTACAGAGAAGGCACATAGTGGATCTGTGGCATCTTGCTGCACTGATGGACAGTGACTGCATTGGGGTTTGGGTGGGGACTTGATAATATGGGTAAATGCAGTAACCACATTGTTTTTTCATGTGAAACCTTCGTAAGAGTGTATATCAATAATACCTTAATAAAAATTAAAAAAAATAAAATAAAAATAAAAGCACAATTATCAATCCTAAGGTTATAAAAAGGACACACAACTCCCTGAAATCCTACCCATTGGACAGAGAACGTCAACAAATTGTGCTGCGTGACTTCAGCTGCTGAGAGCTAGGCAGAAAAAAGAATATTCAAAATGTTTGTGGAGTGTAGCTTGGACAGAGCTCTTATGACACTGTAACAGAGCTATCATCCTGCTGAGATAGCCTCGTATCCTGAGAACATGCATTTGGGTATGTCTGGAGCAGTTGTGGAGTGTGGATGGAGGTCAAGCAGCAGTCAGTTCTCAGAATGATTTAGGGACCTCTTGGGAAAGGGTCCAGCCTACGAATGTTGCTCACATTGCCCTCGCCCAGACTCAGAGGGAAGGAAGAGTGAATAATACAATGGAAAGTGAATAAAAAGATGGCAGTTTCATTGAAATTTCTATGGGTGTATTGGACTATCTTGTTTTGTGTTGTCTATAATAACAACCCAGAGAGGACAGGGAGAGAATGATGGGGAGGATCCTTCCCCTTTGTAGATAATTCTGGGAAACAGACTGGACATAGCTGCTTGAGCCATGAGCAGGACCAGACTATGTTGCTTTGGAAAGTGAGGGTCAGAAGACCTCCACATCAGGCTGCCAGAAGAGCTGACCATGTCTTCAATGTTCAGCCTGATTGGGTGCCAGTTCCCAGCTAATGAAAAGGTAAGGGAAGTCAGAGGGCCAAGGTGGTAACTCGTAGCACTGTTCTCAAATCCTCACCTGAGGAGGCAAGAGAACCTAGAGGGGCAGGTGGGCTCAGCTAGCTGCCTGCCCCTATAGGTTCATACTGGGCCTGCCAGCTGGGTTAGAGACAGGAAAACCCTCTGCTTAAGAGGAACCCCTGCATAGGGGTTGAGTCAGGGGACTGGAGAGATAGATAAGGCTGTGAGAAAGCGGGCCTAGCAGGATCAAGGGAGTTGTCCAGATAACACGAGACAAATAAGATCATTTGGCATCTGGCTTTATTGGAAGCCTACCATGGAATCAGTGCAGCTGCTCTTTGCCTTGTCCTTTTAGGTTCAGACAGGTAACATCTTGATGTTACTAGCCCTTAATCATTGTACAAATCCTTGTGGTTTCCTACACCTGTCCCACATCTTTGTCAATAGTCTCTCTTTTAAATTATCTATTAAATCAATTATTCTAATGTGTCCCCCTACTAAATTATCTATTCAATTAATTATTCTAATATGAATGTACCCTCTATTTGCTGCTGGGACCTTATTGATATACAAGCTATTCTTATTTATTTATTTATTAAGGTATCATTGATATACACTCTTACGAAGGTTCCACAAGAAAAACATTGTGGTTATTACATTCACCATTATCAAGTTCCCCCCAATACCCCATTGCAGTCACTGTCCATAAGTAAGTGTAGTAAGATTACAAGCTATTCTTTTACTGGTTCTGGGAGGCCTCCTGGGACTCTGGTTCTCAGCAACCAGCTCTGGATATGGAGGATAGGCACAGGGGTTTAAATGGTGGACCCTTGCAGGGGAGGTGTGTGAGGAAAGCACAAAAGGTAAGGATAGAGATTATGACTTAATTGATGTACTTCAGAGATCCTGGTAGGAGTGGAATTTGGCAATGCATTTAGACCAAACACTTTGAGATAGGTGGAGATTAGCTGGGTCTAATCTGAAGCAGAGGTAGGGTGGGGGCATTAGGAGGCAGGAGACTGGAATAAGACCATGACCCAGGACCACTAACATCACTCAGATCTTATTTCACTTGCTCTCTGGAGAACAGAAGCCCACACTGGGGGAGGATGACTGATTAAAGTGAGTCCACTGGAGTGCCTGCACAGGGTCTGGCGCTAGTGGGCCACTCTACAATTTTGTCAGAAGAAATGAAGATGCTAACAAAACAGCCTGGGGAGAAGGACATTCTTCTCTACTGACTTTCAGAATATACTCACATGGAAGGAATGTTTGAGAGATGCAGAACTGGAATTTTAAAACAGGTTTGTCATTATTTAGTAAATGCTGGAAAAGTGACAAAATTTGGAAATGTTAATTTAAAAACACCACCACCCTGGAGCAGTAAATCTGGTTTTATTTATCAGGTCATGTGATACTTCCCTAAGTAAAATAAAGAATTTATGCACATTGGAAATTGAGCTTTTATTGTGTAAACTTAATAGAATGTGCAATCCTGAAAACAAGACAGAAATAAAGTGTGTGTGTCTGTGGGGAAATGACTCAGATATTATTTCCCTAAATTTTCCCAGGGTCTTTGCACATGCTGTTCCCAATGCCTGGAACCTTCTTCTCCTTCCTCACACCTGGAAGGAGGTGAGGTTTTCTTGCTTTGCTCTGATAGAACTCTTGTACTTTTCCTTCACAGCACTATCACTGTTGGAGGCCATGTTTCCATGTGGTCATTTGATTAATGTCCTGTCTTGCTCCTTAGCTGATGACCTCCATGAAGGCAAGAACTGTGCTCTGATTGCCAGTGTTGCTCTAGGACTTAATGCCTGACACTTGCCAGATGCTCAGTAGCTATTCCACAGATGACTGCCTAAAGGACTTTGAAAGCGAGTCAGTTAAGACTGGCTTTCCAAGTAAGAAAAGGTGAATTGTAATATATAACTCTGGTAACCTTGGGCCTGTTTTGCCCACATTTCTCCAGGTAAAGACCTTTTTCTGACACTGCTCTAATGGGAACATGTGACACCAGCATGGTAACTGCTGACATAAGGACTTCATGTGGACGGGTAGTGAAGACTTTAGTTAGGTAAACCCTGTCCTGATAGCATGAGGGCAATAACTCCTCTGATTTCCGTGAAATTGCTAAAAGGCTTTCACTTAACTCAGAGGTCATGGATCTTGGAGTGGCTGCTACCACAATGGAAATATCATGGTACATGGACACCAACTTACAGAAGTTCTGAGGGGGTGAGGATATGTGAACTGCACTCGGTTGATATTTTTCTCTGCTTTTTTTGATGTGAGACTTTAGGCCTGATGATATAATCAAGTTGATCATGAAAATTTACAGCAGTTATGTTTGGGAAGGAAGGCTATGCCTTGGAGTTACACGTGAGAGAAGAAATACCAATGTCTTTGGTCAGGGATGCTACAGAGTGGCTTGACGTGGCCAGTGGAGATAAGTGGAAACATGATATGGTGGTTTCATTAAAAGGCATTCAGCACATGCCCCTGCCTTCTATTTTTCCTTCCTTCCTGTCTTCATTTTTCTTTCTTTCTTTGGTAAGAACACTTAACATGAGATCCACTCTCTTAACAGATTTTTTTAAGGTTACAATACAGTATTGTTATCTATAGGCACAATGTTGAATTGCAGTTTATTAGAACTTATTCATCTCACATTAACTGAAATTTTACACCTATTGAGTAGTTACTTTCCATTTATCCCTCTACCCCAACCCCTGGCAGCCACCAATATATTCTTTGCTTCTATGAATTTGACTATTTTTTTTATTAGGCTATCATTGATATACAATCTTATGTTCAGGTTTCACATGAACAACATTGTGGTTACTACATTCCCCCCTATAATCAAGTCTCTACCACATACCCCATTACAGTCACAGTCCATCAGCATAGTAAGATGCTATAGAGTCACTATTTGTCTTCTCTGCGCTATACTTCCTTCCCTGTGCCCCCCTATATTATGTGTGCTAATCATAATGCCCTTTAATCCCCTTATCCCTCCTTTCCCACCAACCCTCCCCAGTCCCTTTCCCTTTGATAACTGTTAGTCCATTCTTGGGTTCTGTGAGTCTGCTGCTATTTTGTTCCTTCAGTTTTTGCTTTGTTGTTAAACTCCACAGATGAGTGAAATCATTTGGTACTTGTCTTTCTCCGCCTGGCTTATTTCACTGAGCATAATACCCTCTAGCTCCATCCATGTTGTTGCAAATGGTAGGATTTGTTTTCTTTTTATGGCTGAATAATATTCCACTGTGTATATGTACCACATCTTTATCCATTCATCTATTGATGGACACTTAGGTTGCTTCCATTTCTTGGCTTTGTAAAAAGTTCTGTGATAAACATAGGGGTGCATATGTATTTTTGAATCTGGGATCTTGTTTTCTTTCAGTAAATTCCTAGGAGTGGAATTCCTGGTCAAATGGTATTTCTATTTTTAGTTTTTTGAGGAACTAATTTACATTCCCACCAGCAGTGTAGGAGGGTTCCTCTTTCTCCACATCCTTGCCAGCATTTGTTGTTGCTTGTCTTTTGGATGTTGGCCATCCTAACTGGTGTGAGGTGATATATCATTGTGGTTTTAATTTGCATTTCTCTGATGACTAGTGATGTGGAGCATCTTTTCATGTGTCTGTTGGCCATCTGATTTGGAGAAGTGCCTGTTTGGATCCTCTGCCCATTTTTTAATTGGATTATTTGCTTTTTGGTTGTTGAGGCACGTGAGCTCTTTATATATTTTGAATGTCAACCCCTTATTAGATATGTCATTTATGAATATATTCTCCCATACAGTAAGATGCCTTTTTGTTCTACTGATGGTGTCCTTTGCTGTACAGAGCTTTTTAGTTTAATTTAGTCCCACTTGTTCATTTTTGCTTTTGTTTCCCTTGCCCGAGGAGTGAATTTGACTATTTAGATAAATTATATAAGGGGAATCATGCAGTATTTGTCCTTCTGTGATTGGCTTATTTCACTTGGCATAATGTCTGTAACATTTGTCTATGTTGCAGAACTTCCTTCTTTTTAAAAACTGAATAATATTCCATTATAAGTATACATAACATTCTCTGTATCTATTCATCCACTGATGGACATTTAGGTTGCATTCATATGTTGGCTGTTGTGAATAGTGTTACAATGAACATGGGAATGCTAATATTTCTTCAAGATCTTGATTTCAATCCTTTGGGGTATATATGCAGAAGTGGGATTGCTGGATCATGTAGCCATACAACTCAATAGCTAATAATCTGATTTAAAAGTGGGCTGAAGACTTTAATAGACACTTCTCCAGTGAAGACAAACAAAAGGCCAACAGGTATATGAAAAGATGCTCAATATTACTTATCATTAGGGAAATTCAAATCAGAACCACAATGAAGTATCACCTCACATCTGATGCCACATCCAATAATAGGATAGCTATTATCAAGAAAACAAAAAACAACAAGTTGGCAAGAACGTGGAGAAATGCTTGTGCATTTTTTGTGGCAATGCAAAATGGTGCCACCACTATGAAAAATAGCATGGAGGTTCCTCAAATAATTAGAAATAGAACTACCATATGATCCTTTCTCCTTCTTGCTTCATGAAGCATGGCAGAAGAGGGTCATACTAGAGGGAGAGTAGACTGGTGGCTGGAAGGAGTCTGAGGATTTGTGAAGTGCCCATGATTCCCAACTCCGGACTATTTAGTGAAAGAAAGAGAGAAAGAAACTTTTCTCTTGTTTCATCTCAGTGTTATTTCAGGTCTCTGTTACCCTCAGCTGAACCTAATTCCAAGTAATACATTTCAGAATAGTAATTTTGGTAAAGCTTTTGCTATGTTTATTTAGAAAAGATCTGAACTTTGCCATAAATCACTGGGAATTGATCTGGCTCAAGTGGAGATTATCTGGAATGTGCTATGGGCATGAAATATGCAAATGGTCCACTGACTGGGGTTTATCTTTTGTGAACAAGTTGACAGGTGATAGATACCAGTGATTCCCAACTGATTCGTTTCTTTCTCAAAGACTTACCCTTTGGACAAATCATGAGCTATGGGAACTTCTGTCTATTTTGAGATGTTTAAGGCTTGCCCAGAGTTCTGTCCAAGATTTCTGAGGATTGCTGGGTGAAGCTTCTGTGTCATGGTGACCTCTGGGTTCTCATTCCTTGTTATGAGCTGGTCCTCTTTTGTCCAGCAGCTGTTCTCCTTTATTTCTCAGGTCCTTCCAGTGTGGAACACAACTCTTTCTTCTTGTTCTCTCAGATTCCCTCTCAAACCACTTTGCCTGAAGGTTTGGGGACAGTTAGACAGTTAGTAAAGAGCTTTTTGCCCTGGGCCTGTTCACAGTTGATGCAAAGAAACAATGATACTGTGAAATAAGTCTTTTAAAAAATTCAATTAAAAAATTTTTTTTGTTCTTTCAACAGTTTTTTTATTGTAGTAAAACATGGAGAACATGCAATTTGCCATTTTAACATGTACATTCTACATGCCATTCTACATGCACATTTTATGTATATAATTCAGTGGCAGTAATTACATTAATAATGTTGTGCAACCATCACAATTTTTTGATTTTTGATTTCCCAAATCAAATTCCTACACAGAGTCCTCCTCTCTCACCCAGAGGTATGACTATCCTCAGAGAGATCACAGTCTTATTCTCAAGTAACAGGAATTCAGGAACTGGAAAAATCCCTATGCTTCCCTCTGATGCAATTTAAGCCACTCTCATTCCTCCAGCTGACCGTGGTAGAATCCACAGAGCTGAGGATGGATTGGGTGTCAATGGTACTGTCAAAGCCTGATGGTTGTCAGCCTTCTGGACTCTGATACTCAATTGAGAAGCAGACGTGGGATAGGTAGGATAGCTATATACTCTTGATCCTGGTTCAGCCTTTGACCCTATTGCAAATGGTTGCAGTTCTGAACCATGGATCAGGAAGAGGACAGCTTAGAACAGGGAATGCTAGAAGCTGCAGCCAGGAGGGATCTTGGGAATGCATATGGTCAAAGAGGAATGGGTGTGTATATGTGTAGGGGGAAATGGGGAAGACTGCATCTCTGGGAGACAGGTCACAGTAGAGTTGGAGGCTCTACTCTGCTCACTTCCCTTTTGCCCCTCCGAAATAATTCTAGAGGGCTACAGTCATGCTAGAATTTGACAGCTGAATTTCAAATGATAAAGCAAGAGATGAAGGGAGAGATTATTTGGGCAGTTCAGACAATGGGTTAAATGTGCAAGGCTGTTTGAAGCTGTGATTCCCATCTATTAATAAAGTCCAACTGTGCAGTGTCACCAAAATGGTGTAATGATTAGGCTGATAGTGGAGTTCTGGACAGTATGAATGACATACAAACATGGGAATGAGCTAGTGGTGAGTGGAGCAACAGGATTGTTTTGTACAGAGTTCTGGAGGGAAGTCACAGACAACAAGCTATTCTTAGATGGGGAAGGGGACTTTTAATTCCCAGACTTCAATTTAACTACAGAGACCATGTGCCTATCAGCAGACAGGTGTGTCTTGGGCTGCATGAGGCCCCTGACTACAGAGTGTTCTGTGGCCATATGCTGTGGGCCTAAGCTTCAAATACATTCATTGACCCTCCTTCCCTCCAGTCCAGAGAGGAATGACTGAGGGATTCTATGCCCAATGTCCCCAGTCACCACACCAGTCCTCCTCCTGAGCTCTCCCCTCTCCCATCCTGGCCTGGACATGGTGCCCAGGACATCTGCTTTCTCCATTCTGTCACAACAGCTCCATTTCCAATCCCGATTGCACATGCTCTGGGTCTAGGGCCCAGCTCTTATTCACACAAATTTTCAAAGTGCTCAGGTTCGAAACCCATTTCAGAAAGAAGGAACCAGCTGTTAAATGTAAGGAGACTGCTATGCCCACTATCAGATTCCAGCTTGCTTGGGGCTGACTGACTACACTGCAGCTGAATTCCTGGGAAGGGAACTGAACCTTGAATTGGACGGGCATGTGGGGGACAGCTGCATCCCATCATGCCACAGTACCAGTTGAGACCACATGCCCTTCCATGCCTGGAGCAAGGAACTCTGCCCTGGGTGCTCTTCTTCCAGCCACCATGCACTCCTGATGAACCTATTTCTGCTCTGTTGTCAGACCATATGCTATTATTTCAATCTGTTCAGTGAGTAGAAGGCCCCAAGGTGCTCTGGTTTGAAACCACACTGTATTTGATAAGGCTGGGCTCAAGAATTCTCAGAAGCAGAGCCCCTCTATATTGTCTCCTGGGGGTAGAAGCTGGCCTCCGTAGCCTGGTGATTTTAAGAGGACACAGAGCAATTGGGTATTTGGAGGCTGCCATGCCTGTCTTGGCTGTGTGTGTGCACAGTGGAATGATCACCCAGAGGGGAGGATTAGTGGGAGTGAGGAGCAGGTGCTCAGACCCCAGTCATCTCTGGGCTTCCCAAAATGCTTAAATAGCCCTGTCCCCGCAGTGGTCTCAGGAATCAGAGCACTGTTGGAGGTAACCCGCAGCTCTGGTCCTGGTGCTCTCCAAAGCGTTCAAGTCTGAATGACTGGAGCACGAGGCAGATTGGAGGAGAGAAGAGGACTCAGGGTGCCTGCCCTGGTGGAGCAGAGACTGGAGGAGCTGCTGGGGAGTGGGCGAGGGGTGGGAGAGGTGACTGTGCTGGCAGACACTGGTTAGGTGGTACCCACACTGAACTGGAAATGGGAGGAATTGATTAAATCAGTGGTCTTCAAAGTGGGGTGTGCAAGATGATCCATTTGGATGTAAAAGAAAAATTAAGACTTCGGTTTATGTTTTAGTGTAAAAATAAAGAATTTAGGATTTATCAATATTTACTGTATGGATTGATACAGGCACTGTTACTCAGCCCTTGTGTCCGGGATGTATCATAGTAGAGGGGTCCTTAGGGGAAGCAAGGGGATTCTACTATACAGGGGAGGGAGTGACTGTGGTACCCTCCCTGCTCCAGTTGCTTTCAAATGAACCCTGAGGTATTATAAATTACTTGTATCCCAGGTTGTAGATAGGTGATATCATCTAACTACCATTTAACTAAACTAATTCTCACAAAAGGGACAAGTGGTCTGAAAAGATTCCTGCAAATAAGTCCCCGGATAGAAAATAATATGAGTTGTACAAGCAAAAGCAAACTCAGATAAACGGCAATTTCCTACCACTCATACAAGATCCATTACAACGCTGTTTCCGACAAGGAAGTTGGACAGAAAAAAGATCAGATTTATAAAAGAGACTAATTGGAATATGGATCTGTATCACTAGAGTTAGCAGCCAACCTAAGGGTATATTGAGACTTGAGCAATTAGCTAATAATAATATAAACATGCCATCATGATCAGCAAGACATGTAACTTCTATATACCCAGAGCATGAAGACAAACCTCTACAGTTCTGGGGGGGATAATCCAAGTCATGCAATGCTTAGTTGTGTCCTTGTGTGAACTATTATTAAATATAATAAACATGTTTAGAGTAAAATCTCTCATTCTTAATAGTAAAAGGCAAAATGTCAGTCACCATTGTTAGAAAAATACGCTCTTCTATCTATTATGGTTAAAGTGTTTGAATTAGTACCGAGAAAAGATGGCAGCAAAAAAAAGAAAAATACATTCTGTTGAAAAACAGAGAGAAAACATTGCTGAAGATGTGAGGGCCCGTTTCTGAACCCACAGTGTGTTGTGGAGGTTGGCTGTAGGCTGGAATCAAGTTGCTAACAAGCTTCCCCTAAGTCTTTGCCATACTTTTCAATGACAGCATTTATAAAGGAATAGATCTTCTTATCTACTAAAGGAAAGATGTTTACAGTATGAATGGCTTATTTTGTATAACATGCTGTGGTTTTTATGTGCTGAAGTGGAATATAAAATGTGGGGGTAGGGGCAGGGAGGGACTACATATAAAACTCATCTATTGCATCATTCATCTACAAATTCCAACAATAAAGAAGTTGAAGTTAGAAGAGTACAAAGTACTAGAGGATGTCAATAAAGTAATAAGGTTAATTTGAAAAAGTTCTTAAAATGTAATAGAATCTTTAAAATGATATGTAGAATGAGATGATGAAAACCTTTTATCTTACTCAAAGGTTTACTATCTCAAGGCAAAGAACTTAAAAGCTGTGGAATTTAAAGACGTGTTTCCTTAACAAAAAGGTAAGTATTCCAAATCTGCTGACTTCTGATGTGCTGGCTTGGGACAGTCACAAGTGCATGTGTGCATACACACGCGTGTGCATGCACACACACAATGTATCCTTTCAGGTAAAGGTGCTGTTTTAGCTATGAATATAACATTCTTTAAAAGAATCATGTTATGGGGAAAGCACTTTGAATATTGATCTTTGGAACTGTTTCCATCATCACGTGATTTTAATGCCAAAATGATGTATGTCCATGTCACCCATATGGAATGTTATAGCCACAATCTTCAAAATAAAGATGTGTTCTTTTAAATCTATTTTGTTATCTCCCAAATGAAGAGTTTCAAGAATTAAGAAAATCCCATTGTTAAAAATATTCACAAGAACAACTGATGAAAGCATCATTGGAAACGTGGGCTTCATGGACAAAGGAGTTTTATTGTGGAATTTCACATTTGCAAAATTGGTAGATGGGATTTAAACAGTGAGAATTTGATCTAAGAAGTGTAACCAAAGATAGAATTCTTCTATTTGGGTCTATGTATCTTTATGTGATATCTTTTTTTGGGGCTATAACAGCCATTAGGACTAAGTATTGACATTAATTGAACTTAAAAGCATACTTTCTAGTCTCATAAAATATTAAACTAAGATTTATCTAAACCACTTTTAATCATGTTGCTCTCACTAAGCAGAGTTTTGCTAATAACTTTGAAAGGAAAGTGGTATACTGTACTATTTATCAAAAATGAAGTAATTTGAAGTTAATGTTTCATCTTTACCACCCCTTTCAATGGTTTTTAGTGTGCCTTATAACATATAATAGTTGCATGTGCCTAACATTTATAAATAAGAAATTTTAAATATCAGGCTATCAAGTAGAAAGAATAAAACTTGGTACTTAAATGAGACAACTGTGTGAAAGCAGTTGGCACAATGAGGATACACAGTGGGTGCTCATTAATGAATAGATTCACTTCCTTCCATGGTGACAAATTTGATATGAGGAACGAAAAAGGGTAAGAGTCAAGGTGGCTCCCAAGTGTGGCCTGGGGGAGTAAGAGGTGGTGCTATGGGTCATTAAGACTGGAAATAGGAGCAAGTTCTGGCACTTCCTGGGAGGAAATTAGGAGTTTGAGTTTGGATACGTTTCCATGGGCCTACAACCTCGAGTGGAGAGGTGCCCCGGGAAGTTGGATACACCAACTGGGCTGGAGATGAGGTTCATGTGTCAATAGCAGGCAAGAGCTGTTAAAACGGTGGGAGTGGGTGAGATCCCCAGAGTGGGCCAGCAGAATGAGAGCGGAGGCAGGCAACGGTGGGACCCCAGGGGAACACACAATGAAAAGCCAGGTTGTGGAGGCCGAGAAGCTGCAGTGACCCAGGTACATAGAAAATTTGGAGAGAGAGAAAGGGGCGGTGGGCACCAATTCCCCAAACTGTACAAGCGTTCCAGGAAGGAAGGTGTAGTCAACAGGTTCAAATGCTGGGGAGAGGAGAGTAAGGGGCTACAAGGCACCCCCTTTATTGGCAACTAGGACAGTCGGTCTTGGAAGGGTGGGTGTAAAAGCCAGAGAGCAGAGCGTTGGAAGAGTGAGTGTGCGTGTGTGTGTGTGCGCGCGCGCGCTGGGAGGGGCAGGAAGGTGATCCAAGGGACCAGGCGGACGCCAAGGAGAAAACCGATGCTTCCAGGTTCGGTCAGCTACGGGGTAAGTCACCTGTTCGGGGGCTGTGACCTCAGAATCTCACCTTGGGGAAAGTCCTGACAGAGGAGGAGCAAATTTGTGCTCTCGCGGTCTGGTGGGTGGTATCCGAGGCGAGGTCCGAGGAGCCTGACTAGAGCCTGACCCCGGGTGCCGGCGAGCGCGCTTCCGGCCCGGGGACAGGGCGACCGCCGCGCCCCTGGAGCTCTCAAGTTTCCTGTTGACAGCGCGGCCGGGGCGCTTCAGGTAGCGGCGGGCAGGCCTGGGTGGCGGGCGGCCGGGGGCGCAGACCTGCGCGGCGCTGCGGCCAGACCCGCGCCCCTCTGCTGCCTGCTCGCCTCTCCCGGGCTGCACGCCCAGGGAGGGCACCGACTGGGCCGGCGCGAGCCTGGCGAGCTTCTTCCTGGGGGGTCGACCCACCTCCACCGGGCCGCCCGGGGTCTGGGGCGCCGACCCGCCGCAGCACCTCCCGCTCGGGACGCTGACCCCGCCCCTGCCGCCCCGCAAGCTCCGTCGAGCGCGGGCGGGGGGCGCGGCCTGGTCCCTGCCCAGCGCCAGGGTGCTGAGGTGCTGGGCCGCCCCTCCGCGGCGCTTTCTGTGCGCGCGACCCAGCGCCGCCACCTGCGCTCCAGACTTGCGGGCCGCGCCTTTCCGGCCCACGGCATGGCCCTGTCCGCCGAACCCGAGTGCGCGCAACGCTGCGCTGCTGACCTTGGGCCCGCGGCCCGTGGCCCCCGCGGCCCAGGGCGGGAGTCGGAACGCCCTGGGGTCGGAACCCTGGCTCTGGACTTCCCAGCACACCGAGGCGGCGCCTCTGGCATGGGCGCATCCCTGCCCAGGCCCTTGTCTGTGCTCCTGCCCCTGTCCCTGAGGTGGCCTGGGTTCCAGAGACCTCAGGTGAGCCAGCCGCCTCTCAGCTCCCTGGTGGCCTACAGTGGATTAGCAAGGTTTAGAGAAATCAAGGGACGCGGGACTTGCTGTCGCTTAAGCGTCAGACAAGTTTCCAGGTGTTTGAGGACTGGCCAGATGCGGGCATGGAGACAGGAGGAAGGACAGGATGGCAGGGTGATGGGGGCATTTGAGGCCCTCATCCTTCCCTCTGGCTCCCTCCCTGCAAGGTAGGTGAAATGAGCTTTGGCAGTCTGCTTTCTGCCCTTGAACTTCCTGGTAGCTGCCTTGCCAGGGAAGCTGCTAATGGCTTGTCTTGGCTGGAGAAGCGTGAATTTTGATAGGCCCTGGAGTAGGAGAGGCTTGTTAACTAGAGTGTTATTTCCCCAAACTGTTAGGTCCTCGTATGTATGTGTCTGGAAGCTTGGTGATGACAATTAGTGAAGGAGTTGGGTGAAAGCAGGAAGCACTAGGAGGAATTTTTAGCATGGTCCTGAGTCTTTGTTGGCTATCCCCTTGGATGTGGTGACCAACATTTGGCCATCTTCAGGGAAAAGCTTGCTGCAGCTGGAACCCTCACAGGAGAGATTCCTTCCCTGGCTGTGAAGTGTCAATCCTGAGAGGTAGTCAAGCCATTGAGCCAGGCAGACAGAGCCCCAGTCAGCTTTCACCTCTGGGAGAGCTGTCAGCAGGTTTGGAGTAGTTAGCCTCGCCTGGCTACAATTCTGGCTTCAACTCTGAAGGGCCAGCATGCCCTTAAGATGATGGTATGGGGCTTCTCTGTCTGAGATCACCGATGGGGCTTGCATAGGTGGGTTGCTGGGAAACTCTTGGACCTCTCAGCCCCACCCTCAACCCAACTTCAGTCTTCTGAGATCCTGGATAAGGGGGAGTGGCTCTCAGCTGGGGCAAGAAGTTATTTGAGACATGAGATCTGTTTTTCTTGTCCTTATATTGGGTGAATATTCTTCAATGGCCTCAAAATCAACTCCAGATCTTGAAAATACCATTGGCAGGTAAAATGTAGCCTTAGGGCTCAGCAGGGAGATACTTTTTCTCCCCTAAACCTACTCATTGACCTTCTGGGATCTTTCCCCAAATATATTAATCTCTTAGTTCTTCTGTGTGCTGGCTGCATAGCTAGGACAGGAGACCATGGCTAGGGCATAGGAGGATGGGCTCATGGCTGGAGTGCTGGCATGTACAGTTACTCCTTTTGATCTGGTTTTACATTTAAACATTCTTTCCTTCTGATTGCCCCCAGGTAGGAGCTTGAGGAAGTGCCTGGCATAATAATGCTCAATAAATAATGTTGAGTAAAAGGAATCATGATGAAAATTCATGTTCATTTTCTCAGTTGTATTCTCTCTCTACCTGATATCATGATGACAATGATGTTGATAGATAATACTTATAAAGCACATACTATGTGCTGGGTACTATTTCAAGCACTTTACATATGCTAATTTAATAATCATTACTGACCTATGAGGTCAGTACTGTTATTATCTACATTTTATAGGGAACAAAACTGAACCAGAGAAGTTTAGTAGCTTGCCCAAGGTCATGCAACTAAGTGGTGGAACAGGATTCAAACCTAGACAGTCTGGCTTGAGTCCATATTCTTAATCATACACTGTACTGACCCTTGAGATTGCCTTAGGTAAATTCATCACTTAGCTCATTCACTCATTCATTATTTTATGTATTCATTCATTGAGCAAATATTTATTGATGCCTACTGTGTTCTAGGCATGGGGATATAATAGTGAGTGCGATGGACAAGGTCTGTCATACAACTGATATTTAGCAGGTGAAGCCCCTTTGCCAGCTCCCATGTGAATCATGCACACCTCAGAAACTAGAAGGAAAATGAACCCCTCTAGGCAAGCCCACAGCATTCTTTTAGGGGATCAGAGAGTAGTATCTTTGTTGATGAGATATGATTTGATTCCAGCCTTTCCTGTCTTTTGGAGTTTGTAAGGGTTACTTAACTAATAAAAGTGAATGTAGTCTGGGCTCCTCAGCAGGGGAGGCAGGCTTTGGGCCTGGTTATCATAGATTGCCTTAATGTCCATTCACAGGGGAAATAAGGCTTTGAGCTTGGGACCAGTGCTCCTCATCCCAAGGAGCCTTGTAGGCCATGAGGAGCAGTGACGTGTTACGCTCCAGGTGGAATTGTGAGGTCCTGAGCAAAACTTGACCTCATGAGACAGGGCCACAGTTTCTTGCTAAGCTGTTTGTGTTCAGGAGGGTACTCTATCCCTTTACCTCTAGCAGGACCCTTGGCCATTGTCCCAACCTATGACATCTTAGCAGGGCTACGGCCCATCTCTGTCCAGACCTGATGCAATGGGTCTCCCGCCCATACCTGGGCTCCAGGAAGGCAGCTTTCTCTAGGTTGGAAAATGAAGGCGCAAAGTGCAAGGCATTTTCCAAAGCTTGTGCCACAGGATATTAATAGGTGTTTTTTCCTATGGTGGCGTGGTCAGAGGGTCAAATAAGTGTGTTGAGTTCAACAAAATTAAGTAGCTTTCCTTACCTCAGCACTTCTGGGGTGCTAGTAGGAATTGTGCATGAATCCCAATAAGGGACTATGGTATGCAATATTTTTCCAAGCCTTTTGACCTTTATGTTCTACAGACACCACTATGGAAAATGCTTGTTTAGACTAAGGTCTGGTAACATGGTTTGGTTAAAGGTGCAGAATAAAATACCCTCAGTGGGTTGGATCCAGGTAGGTTCTCAGATGCATAGGTTAGGATGCTCACAAGCAACCTCCATTGTACCTCCCCATCCCCCCAAACACACCAGCAGAAGAAACCATTTACCCCTCCTCCATTCTGGAAGAACAGTACTAAGGGCTTGGATTTTTTTCCTCTGTATTTTTAAGCCCATTTAATTATTTAATGAATAAGTATTACCCTCCTTCTGGGTTGCTTGTAGCCTGCTGATTCCACGACCTGAAGCCTATTATTGAAACAGCTGTGAGAACAGGTGGATCATAATCTCTGGGTAGCTAAAGCCCAGCAGCAGCTTGAGGATCATATGTCAACCCTGTAATCCTTCTCTGTAAGTATAGGAATTATTATTATGTGGGCTCAGGAGGGTACAACCTCACTATTGGACATGAAGAGGTGACTCAGGCCCAAGTCAGGCCTAGAGCTAGTCTTCCTGGTAAACAACTGACCCATCCTTTCTGGGCTCTTCTCCCCAGGATTTCAACAGCACCACAGAAATAGCCATTTTGCTCATGGTTATTTCCCAGACGCACACCATTTGTCTAAGTCACTGGGAGGCCATGTGTCTGTTCTGAGCCTTCCCTCACAGGACTGTCTTTCTCCTAAAAGTCAGGTGAAGAGTGGAGCTTTGCACCCTGTGATGCTGCTTAATTCACCCTGCTTCCTTTAGAGGACTGCCTCTGTGGGTCCCCTGAGGCAGCTCCACCTTCTCCAGGGAGCGTGGCAGCTGCCGGTGGAGGGTGGCTGAGTCCAGCCAACGCTCAGGAGGCTTCTCTGAGCTGGAGGCCCGTTTGGAAGCTGTGAGCAGCAGTAAGGAGGAGAGGATGGGGCGGGTGGGCTCCGGGTCAGGCAGGACATACTTCTTTTCTGTGGGTGTGCGCATGTGAATGTGTGCGTGCTTTCACGCACTGGTAGAGCCTGTCGGGCTGCGCAGTCACCTGCGATGTCAGCTTCTTTCAGGGAAGAGAGGAAGGAGTGGGACAAGACATGCCAGCTTTTCATCCTAGCCTGTTCCAGGCTGAGGCTTCCCCTCTTCCTGAGTCTCTGTCCTCTCCTGGGAAGGGAGAGAACAGTTCATAGTCTTTCCCTCTTTTAGAGAAGGCGGGGAGGAGCGAGCTTGGCTTTAGCAACTAGGCTCAGAGCTCCTCCTGTCAGTGCTGGGGTACCCTCAGGAGGTTTGCTTTGGGGCCTTTCTGAGGGGAGGCAGGGCAGATGGATCCCCTTGATAAGATGAATCTGGTTGCTAGGCCAAGCATGAAGTGGGGTTCAAGACAGAAACAGCAGAGGGGATGATATTGTACATAACTGCCCAGCTCTCTGGGGTCTGGATGTTAGAGGGAAGCTGTGGCTTCTCTTCTGTGGCTGGTCAGGAAGTCTGAATGTACTGTTGCGTTGGAGCAGCCGTGGCTTGTTTCTTGCTCTGGAGAGGGCTGTGAACAGGGCCAGGACACTGAATTCAGGATGCAGCAGCTGTGGGTAACTGGCATTACCTGGGCCCTGTAGGACTCTCGGAAATTTTCCACTTACATTTCATGTTCACAGAATTTCTAGCCCAGACTTTTCCTGCTCTTGCTCACGGCTGCTCACAGATATGCAAAGCAGAGACCTCCCACCCAGCAGTTGCTGATAGGACCTGGCTAGCTGCACTTACACTGACTCAGCTCAGCCTCCCAGTAGCTGGAGTGCACCGCCTGTGTGGCATCTACAAGATCAGCCATGGAGACTCCATCGCCAGTCTCAGGTCTGTGTTGTGGGTTCTGACGATGGGAGTCTGGCAAGAGCAAGGAACAGTTTCATTTATTTAAGGAGGGGATTCAAATGGTACTGTGCTTCCTTTCTGGAGGGGCTGTGGTAATGAAAAGTTTGTTGAAATTAGTGGCACTTTACAGCTCTCTAACTTTGGGACACTTCTTCTTTGGAGGCTGTTGTATGTAACAACGAGATAAGCTATATCACTGGCTGATGCTGGTGAATTCGTAGTTAGGCCTTGCAAGCCTGGTGAAAAAGGGTTGAAAGCCAGGCTTCAACAAGCAGCTGGAGCTTTAGCTCTGCTTGGCATCTGCAGAGTGGGCTTTCCTCGTCATTCCTGGCCTGGCAGGCAGGTGTCTGTAGATCTGAGAAAAGAGACAAACTCTGGAGAGTGGGGTGGGCAGGACTGGATGTCCAGAAGACACCAGGCTCCTAAGACCCACTGATCTAGCCAGTACCCCAGCTGGGTACTTGGTCCAACCAAGGCATGGATCAAAACTCTATCAATTATTTAAGACACTGGTAGTAGTTCTTCAGGAGATTCATATGGGTTCTGTAAAAAAGGGGCCTATGGCGAAGTGCTTCTCTGTCATCCTTAAGTCTTTGATGTCTCTTGTGAATCGGGGGTGAGGGCCTATGGAATGCATTATCTCCTTAATAACTGTCCATGGGACCTGCTTTACTAGTAGCAACTATTGACCTGTCATGGGAAAAGGTTGATTTAAGCTATTTAAGGTGAAAAAAAAGATCTTTTGTAGAAAGATGCATCCTGAAAAGTAGGCGTAGTTGACTTGAGCAGGCTAAAAAATGCTTCATGGAAAAACAAAGCAGACTCTGGCTTAACAGCCTTCAGCCACAGAGGATACCCCCATGGCCATTTCTGAGGGGGTCTAGTGGAGTGTGGCTGGGTCAGGCTCATGGGTGTTTGTGGAGGTAAGGGGTAGGAGGTAGGAATGTGATGGTGAGCAGCTTCCAGCTTCCCTCAGGGCAAGAGCAAATGCAGAGATGCATCTCAGTGGTATGATTCCCTTTGGACCGGCCTGCCTCTGGTGTGGGTTAGGCGGGAGAAGACTAATTGCCAAAACCCAGGAAGTAGAAGTTTGATTTGTTTTCCTATTGTTCTTTCTTTTTATAAACTCTTAAGTCTGTTCCTTTTCATTCTATCCTTTCTGTGTTTGTTAAAATGACATTATAACATCATCAGTGATCAAGATCAAGTATTGCCTCACACAAGGCAATCCTGCCATCTGGTCATTGGAGTGTGTGTCTCTCTTGCAGCCCTTATTTATAAGGGGATGCATTTTCATATCATTCTAATCAAAGCCTGGGTATAGTTTTACGTATTAATTTTTTCATTTATTGCAGCTATTTTTTTTATGATTGCACTATCCTCATAATTATAAATTTGATTGCTTAAGTGAGTATGCTCTAATTTGGATATTTTAAAGCTATTTATATAGAGTTCAGGTCAACATCTTTGTGTATTTCCCCTCCTTTAGATTCCTTTTTTAGAAAGCAATTTCTAGAAGGGAGCTTTATTTCTGTCAAATGGTATAGATGCTTTAGGCATTTGCTACCCCTTGCCTGGGCCTGTTTGATTTCTACTTCTGAGATGTGAGGTTTTGGAATGTTGTACTTGACTTCTGGCCTTAGAGGGTGTGGGTGGTGATCCAGTTTTGTTCTTACTTAACAGGTCCTCCTGGGTCTAGTTCTGTGTCTGTTTCTCCATTTTCCTCCCACCACGGTTTTCTCCCAGCCTCTGCTCTGATGATTTCCAGCTTTCCCTTCTCTCTGCTATCAGGGCATGCAACCTCCAGTCAGCTCTGTTCATCTTCCTCTTTGCATGACAGGCCTTTGCTATCTTGGCCTCTGCTGCACAGGCTAGCATAGTTCGTGCAGAGGTGCCTCTCCCCACACTGGCTCCCTCCCACTCAGCCCCCTGCGGGGAAAGAGGCCCAGGAAAGGCACGCCATGGTGTGGAGGGAAGGAAGAAATTGGTTTCACAGTCAAGGGGCCCACCAGAAGTACTCTGACTGCCAGTTACTAGCCTCCTTTCTTCCTTCCTGTCTGTGTGGTGAATTAGACCCCGGTGCCTCAGAGAAGACCAGAGCAACAAGCCTCCCTGGGCACTGGAAACCTCTCTGGCACTTAGAACTGAGAGGGCCTTGGGGACCACTTACTCCAGTCTCTATCTGACAGATAAGAACATTGTGAGGTGCAGAGAATGACTGTCCCAGGATTGCTCAGTGAGTCCCTCCTCCCCTGTAATTGCTTCCTCTCGCTGCCTGATAGCAACTAGGCACAGTCTTCCCTTCATGCTCATCTGTTGGGCCGACAAAACCACTTCTCTCTTTAAACCTTCCTTAAATAAATTGTGGTAATTCGTGGGCAGGTAACGCTCCTTCTAGAGCAACTCCTTGTTGATGGGATGTGGTATCTCTTCCACAAGGGTGATGCTGGGGGCAGTGAGGAGACGAGACTTGCCCTGACACGCAAATGGACAAAGAGAAGCGGTACAGTGTAATGGTTAGGACAGCATGGGAACCAGGTGCTAGGGTTCAAATCCCTGCACAGAGGCTTGGAGAGGAAAGGGATAGAGGAGTCCAGTACTGAGAACAGCACAAGTCTCTGCCCACTTATTAAAAGTGTGACCATGGGCAAGTTAGCCCTCTGTCCTTTCATTTTCTCATCTCCAAAATGGGAATAATATGATTAACTGAGTTAATAAGTATAAAGGACTTGGCAATGTATACTGAATAACTGCTATGTAAGTGTTGGAAAAAAAGACAGATGGATGGACAGACAAAAAGAAACAGACAGAAAGAAAGACAGAGGAGAAAGGAACCAACCAGGTGATTTAGGCCAGCTTTTGGTAATAAGGAACTAATGTGCAGAGAGGTAGATAAGAGCAAGCTTCTTTGAAGGAATGAATTTTCAGAAGGACTGTGAAAGGGAATGAGGCCCCCTGCCTGAGATCTTTATTTCATTTGCTGTGTCTTGTTAGAAGTTCCAGATGGCTTGGGAGACTGTGGAACTATGATTATAGCTTCTTTCTTTTCAGCAAAAAGCCTCATTCTATGTGACGAAGAAAGCAACTTTGGCTCACCCAGGATTCCGCTGTCTGCTTTGGGACCTTAGTCTGCCATGAAACCCTCTGGGCTTCCTGACTTTACACTGGGGAGGTTTAGCTGTTGCAGCTGGAATAGCCTCATAGTCTGAAGGAAGGGTCTCTAAGCCCTCCTCTCCCTTCTCCATTATGGAAACAAAGTCAGGAAAAGCAGAGCCGTCAGTGTGCTGTGGATTCCCCAAGCTCGGGAATGTGGAAGTGCACTTAGTTGGACAGTTCATTCTTTGACTTCTGAACATTTGCTTTCTCATGAAGTGTAAGTGGCCCTACACCTTTCACAGCCAATTAGTTGTTGAGCTAATTTTTAAACTTGGCGTGGTGGGTTCGATCTGGGGGATTCCTGAGTTGGCAGCTGACACCAAGGAAAAGGGATTCCTGACCCTTATTTCAGTACTTTCACCTCCCCAACACCAGTGATGAAGGCAGTCCAGTAGTTCACGGAGATTCATGGTTGTTCTTTTTCTGCTAGCAGAGATGCCGCGCCAGTTCCCCAAGCTGAACATCTCTGAGGTGGATGAGCAAGTCCGGCTCCTGGCCGAGAAGGTGTTTGCTAAAGTGCGCCGAGAAGAAGACAGTAAAGATGCCCTGTCCCTCTTCACTGTCCCTGAGGACTGCCCCATTGGGCAGAAGGAGGCCAAGGAGAGGGAGTTGCAGAAGGAGCTGGCGGAGCAGAAGTCGGTGGAGACGGTGAAAAGGTTTGTGCCCCCACCTCAGCCCTGGTGTGCAGCTATGCTAACCCAGCTGGGCTGTGGGCTTGTATCCTAAGAGGGGGAGCCTCGTGGAACTGGCTTACCCTGGGAACTGTGTTCATTTCTTTAACAAGACCATTTAATTCACCACTTATTTCTTGAAGGACATTTCAGTGCCTCCATCTGGTTGAAAGGATCAAACTGTTTTATCTCTGCTGCTGCTTTAATAATAAATCATGTGCATAAGTACTCACATTTCCAAATGACATTTCCATTTTCTTTTTGGAAATCTGAGGAATTCTTGGGAAACACTGGGTTTACTTCTCATCACTTGACTAATACTTTGCATTATTAATTAACTCAACTCACTAGTTGCCAGGTGCTTGCTGGGCCTAGGGTTACGATAATGAACAAGATAGATACAGTCCCTGCCATGTAGAGCTTACAGTTGGTCTAGACAATAGGCAAGGAACTGAACAAATTAATTAAAAAATGATAAGTTATGATAGATGCTGTATCAGTCAGGGTCTAACTAGAAAAACAGAAACCAGTTGAATGTTGGAAATGGAATTTTAATGCAGAGAATTGGTTGCAGAGGTGATAGAGAACTGAGAAGACTACCAGGGGAGAGGCAGCCCAGAAGTTAGACACAGCAGACTGGAGAGATAATGGAAAGAGGTGTTGTTTCTGGGACCCAGGGTAGAGAAGACAGGACCGTGGTAGTCTTTCCAGTGGAAACTAAAGCCAAGAAGGAGAGGCATCAGCTGCAGAGATGCCTCCCAAAGCAGAGATGGAGGCAGGAGATTCCTGGTGTTAATCCTTCTGGCACATTCCAGTCTCCCCCAGTGGTTGCCATTGGCTGATCCTAGCCAGAAGCCAGCTGACACATAGCTGGAAACAGAGAAGGATAAGGAGTGGATCTGAGGACAAACAGGCCCAGGCCCAGCACAGGTTCTGTGAATGAGATGAATAAGGAGTTGAGGGAGAAAGAGCAAAAGAGAGAGACAGAATGAGAGAGAGTGAGAGAAAAATGAGGGATGGAAGAGTCTTTTTTCAGACTGAGTAGTTAGGTAAAGTGTCTCTAAGCAGGTGACATTGTGGCTGATACTTAAAGGGTGTGAAGAAGCTAGCCATGTGTGAGCTGGGTGAGAACAGGACAAGTAGAGGAGCTAGAACAGAGGCCCTTAAGTATCTTCAAGAGGCGGTTAGAGTAGAGTGTGGTTGGGTAGAGTGTGGTTAAAAGGGGAGGTGCCTTGGGCTGGAGGGGTAGGCAGGGCCCACATCAGACTGGCCTTGTGCTCCCTGATAAGAAGTTTGGATCTTAGTCCATCTGCAGTGGGAGGCCCTCACCCTTTCACAAAGTAAAGCTCTCATCTGCGAGTGCAAAATTAAAAAATAAAAGAGCTTTAAGGAAGTGTCTTCTGGGGCTGTAGCTGGGTGCCTTCCTGGCCAGCACACTTCAGACCTCAATAGCTAATATAGGGGAACTTGAACCCTCTCTCTGACCTAGTTGGTGATCAGGACCTTCTTAAAGTACTCTTTATGTTTAAAGGCAAGTCCTTTCCTTTTATGGTAGTATAGAATTTCAGTATTTCCCTCATTTTTTTTTGGAAAGAACTAAAAAGTCAAGTGCTGGTGTAAAGACAAGGACAGAGCTTCACCATCCATAAAATTAGTGTTTTCCTTCCTCTGAGAGGATGTGAGCCCATGGGTGAAGGGATCGTTGGTGTGTTGGCCAGCTCTGAGTGCTAGGCTTGTGTTGGGTGGGGTGGGGTGGCCCTGGGCCCAGTGGTGTGGCCATCCAGGAAGGGTAAAGAAGAGCATGGCTCTAGATTCTTGTTCACACTGCACTTGCTTAACAGGGGGCTGACTTTGTGAACTGAATGGTCTGCAGGGCCTTCTGTGTCTTATGAACTGGGAATTTTAGACCCTTAATAATGAGAAGAGAAGGAGTCTGGCATTTTTTTATCACCAGGAATAATAGGTTTCTGAGACACTTCCTTTACAGACTGACACGAGGCCTGACATCTGCAAAAAGAGATTGTTCTCTTCTTATCATAGCCCAAGCTAACGGCGATTTGGAAGCCTTCTTCTAAGTCCAAATGGTGCTCCACGGTTTCCAGCAATTCCTTTGCCAGTTCCTCTTCAGAGATTTTGTTGTGTCCTTCCATACTAGGTTGTGGTGGTCTTGGCTTGCACTGCTGCCCCTTTTGACTGGAAGCTCCTTGAGGGCTGTACCTGGTTCCCGCTGTATCTCCAGGATCAGCCCAACAGCCTGTACTGGCAAGCAGTGGATGTGTAGCCACTGCTACCACAGACACCACATTAGGGTGGCCATAGCTCCCTGGACCACTTTGTTTTGCCACTCACTAGCATGCTGTGTGACCTTGGGCAAATTAAGAAACCTCTCTGTGCCTCAGCTTCTTTCTTATCTATAAGGTGGGGATGGTAATAGTAGCTACTTTCATGGGGGTATTTTTGGGGAATGAGGGAATTAGCATATGTAAAAGACTCAGACAGTGCCCCAAGTAAATATTAACCATTTCTCCAGCTTCCTGCTGTGGAGATGGGCCACAAGAGCAGTTGCTGCTTACTGTGGGCTAAGTGCCAAGATATGCAGTTTACTTTCATTCTTTAATTTCCACATCAAGTTTATCAAGTGGACATTCTTATAATCTTAATTTTGCAGATTAGAAAACTAAGACCCAGAGAAGTTAACTTAACTTGCACATGAGGACCCACAGCAAGTGACAGGCAGGGATTAAAACCCATGTCTTTTGAATCTAGAACCTCACACTTTAGCCATGAGGTTATCCCATCTGCAGTCAGTGGTGGGGTTCAGACCTGGAATGACACTGGGGGCTGCTCCCCAGAATATAATTGCCTTCTTGTAAATGAAATGAGGGAAGCTAGGCCAAAGGTCCCCCTAACAACTGGCTTCTTTTCTGCCAAAGGACAGGACAGCCTGGTCCCTGGACTACCTGTCAGATATCCCAGTGTCCTCTGGAGCTGTGAACCCCCAATTTTGTTCTTCAGCTTCACTGCTCTGTGGAGGCATCATCATGCACATATTCAGATGCCAACAGTTTTGTGAGGAACCCTCTCCCCAGCTTCCTCTTCATCTCTGGTTCTTCCCTGACATTCTGGAATATAAATGGTGATTGGAACCTTCCTGCAAGGAGCACACAGGCCTGGAGGCAGCAGCAGGTCTCTAGGTATAGAGTCTGTGGGTTTGGGTTTCAAATTGTAACACGAGATAGTGCTTCTAGTTTGGAAAAGCTTTCCCTCTTCCTCTCTCCTCTGAGCAGCCTGAATATTCTTGGTGTTTAGAGAAGGCTTCTCATCGCAACCATTTTCTTTTTCTCTCTTACTAAAAACAACAACAAAAGTTTATTCTAAGTCTAATGTAAAGGTACAAGCTAGAACCAGGAAGTAAGATGGCTTCTTACAGAAAGAAGAAAAACTTGGGTTGTGAGTAAGAAAGGTAAGCACCTAAAACATGGTGGCTTGCTGTCCAGGATTCCAGCAGCTGTAAGAGCTCAGCTTGGTTCAGACATAACCTTTCCACAGGACTGGAGGCTGACTCCAGGAAGCTAGTGCTCCAGGGTCCAGGGAAGGACATTTAGCAAAGACAGGGCCTTGCCTCTTTAGAAAGATGACATTGGCCAGGTCTCTACTGGAACTACGGGTGGGTCAAATTTGGAAGGAGGGGTGGACTATCTGTGGAATCAAAATTAGGAGGCAAAGATAAGAACACAGGAAATTGCTGGTGGTACCCAGAAGCTATCTTTTGTTCACTTTGAATCTTCTGTTAGCCTAGCCAGAGTTCACCTATCCTACAAAATAACATAGTTGGAATTCGCCAACATTGCTGACAACATGCAACATTTCTGAGTAACCAAAATGCACATTAATGCTCTCCTGGCTCTCCTATTTCTTTTTTTTTAAACAGCTTTATTGAGATAGAATTCACATACCAAACAATCCATCCTTTTAAAGTGAACAATTCAGTGGCTTTTATTTATATTTGCAGAGTTATGTAACCATCACAATCAATTCTACAACATTTTTTTATGTCTCCCAAAGAAACCTGTACTGTTTAGCTATCATTCCCCTAATGCTTTCATTCCATCTCCTGTTCATCTTTACGTCACACAGAGTTCTAATCAGCTTGGCTATCTTGTTTCTTATCCTATTAATGGGTTTAAAGAAGCATATTAGAAATGAGAAGAGAGACTTCTGTTGGCAGGGTCACAGAAATGATGAGTAGGGATTATGGGCTCAGGCTTTGGAGTTGGACCCCTGGGTTCACATGACAGCCCCATCTCTCGCCCCTGACCTCGGGCGAGGCTCTTAACTTCAGGAGCCCATTTTCTGATCTGCTCAATGAGGATAATAAAGAGACCTACCTTGTGATAAATTAAATGAGCTAATGTGCATGACTGCTTAGCACACTGCTTGGAAATTGTTAGTGTCCCTGTTTTTGTTATTGTTATTATTTGACAGTCAACAGTGCAAGAGGAAACAGAATAATTATGAAATTCAAAGCACAGCAGTCTTAGGACAAAATGCCTGTAAGCTCATGACAGGGTAACAGGGATGACCCTGAGTCATCTAGAGAACTTTAAATAATTATGTTCAGCATGTCCTGATTAAGTGCAAGAATTATGAATTTCATTTAAAAAAGCCACACCAAAGTTGTTTTTTTCTTAAATTAGGGTGTAAAGGGGACAGACTTTATCTGAAAAGTACAGCTTTTCAGAACAGCAACTTCCCCAAATAGATGAACAGATATTTGTCATGAATTGAACGTAGCACAGCTGAAGTGTTAAATCACTTTGTTTTATGAAACTTTTTAAGTCAGGGGTAGGTGACTTCTTTTATTCAGGGCATTGGCAAGGGAGCTTCATTTGAAATAGTTCAATTCATCTATTTTTAAAGTTGAGAATAGAGAATTTAAGACTTAATTGAAAAGGTAGTAAAGGTTGAACTTCATTTTGACCTGTGGTGTCTTTTGGAAGAAGGGCAGCTGGGAAGAATGGAAGAAAGGGAAAGAAGTTGCAGGCAGGTGGATGGAGACCTACACCTGTTTAGGCGAAAGCAGAGGCAGGTCAGTGACAGTGAGGGCAGCTTGTCAGAGGTAAGTAAAGGGAGAGACGGGGGTTGAGGCTGTGAGTCCTTACACCTGACAGGCTTCAGGTGTGGAAAGCAAAGCTAGCCCGACCTGGATGGGCCACTGGTCCCTCGGTGTGCATGCAGGGAAAGTGCCCTCAGTGGGCCCTGTGCCCTGACAGATCTCTCTGTGGCCCATCCTGCAGCGTGCAGCATAGGCATCTGTTTCTGCCTTCTCCTTTCCAGATAGATTATGACCTCTGATCTCAATCACTGGCCCCCTCCTTAGACCAGAGGTCCCCCTTCCATGTGAATCTGTGCAGTGATAGTGGAAGCAATAGGAGCAGATGAGCCTTTAAGTGGGGATGCCTGCCCTTCCTAAAAGCATTCAGATTTACACTGTTAGCAAAACACCATGCTGGCTTGTGACTCCTGCCTCCAACCTTATCTGGAGGGGCAGGGGCTGCCAGAGTGATTTGAGTATGTGTGTGGGAGTAGTTCAAATAAGACTCCCCTTTCTAGGATGCTCCCCTCTCCCTCTGGGAATGATACAGCAGGCCTTCTTTGACCCTGCTGCTCTACTGCTCCCACCCCCAATCTGGATTATGTGTCTCCTCTGGGATCCTGAAGTATCCAGAGCATCTCACCACACTAACCACATGGTGTGATGATAATCTGTTGAACTGGCTGGCCATCTATGCCATTGCCAGTGGAATCAGGTAGTATATTTTATTACCCATCCACCCCCAGGTCCTGGCACATAGTATTCTATTGAATAAAATAGGGTCCACGTGAGACCCCTGATTCCCTGTACATGGTTGAGAGCTTTTGGTTTAAAGTGTGCCCTCCCTGCCTGGAAATCCTCTGGACAGACTAATCAGGGCAGTGGAATGTTGACTTGGGTTTAGCATACAAATCAAATATTATAATGGTAAGACTCTGGGGGGCCCATTTGCTGAGGAGGACTGGTAGGGCAGGGTAAGGATGGAGACAGTGAATGGCCGGGCCAGCCAAGGGACATAGAGTCAGGGGTGGAGATAGGGGGCACCAGACAGGTTCTAAGAGATACTCTAATCACAGCCTATGTAACTGGTTCACATTCTTTGTGCTGAAGGCTTCGTGGGGGCAAGAAAGTGCCTGTAGCCCAGGAGGAACATCCATTTCAGGGAGGATGATGCTAGGCTTGGCCTGGGGCTGGTGTCTTCACAACTTCACACCCTGCCAACTCTTTGGCATGAGTGAGTTTCTGCCAGATGGATATGCGGGTGGGGAGAGGAAGGGGCATGCCAGCTGTGGCAGAGCAAGTTGGCTGGCTTTGTGCCCCAGGGGCTAGCATGAGGTGCAACAGGTGGGGCTGTGGACAGACAGATCGTGACCCATGATAAGGAAAAGCTTCCTAACAGTGACAACAGTTCCTGTTTTGTTCTCCGTGTATTTACATGCTGAACCCTGGCTTGGCCCAGAGTGAGTGCTTGGTAAATATTTTAAATAAATGATTGAATGTTGATGTCTATTCAGAAATGAGCTCTCTGTCACTGGAGATAGTCAAGCAAAGGTTGCCTTGTAATAGTGAGAGGATTGGAATGTGTAGTCTTTAAAGTCCCTTCCAGCTGGAACGCCCCATGGTTCTATAGTTCAGATAAAGCTTATGGTAACTTTTTACTATTGTGACACATGTGGGGCTTCAGATAGTCTTGAAAGGGAAAGAAGGATAGGTGTGTAGATGCACACATACACACACCCACACACTGAGCACTCAGCTGCCATTCTCAACCTTCACTGGCTGAGCCTTGGTTGTATATGGGTCTATGGTAGGCAGAATTTCTAGTGTTCCCTTAGAGATGTCCCTCTCTAATCTCCAGACCCTTTGAATATGATGGGACATTGCTCCTGTGATCATGCTCTGGTATATGGCACAGTGGACCTGAAGATAGGGAGGTTACTAGGATGAGTATGATCTAATCGCATGAGTGCTTGGAGAAGAGAGCTTTCTCAGGCTGGTAGTAGAGGGGCAAGTCAGAGATCTTTGGAGCTCTGGAGCCAGCCACGCCTAGCTTTGTAGATGGAGGGGTCTGTGTGCAAGAATCTGAGAGTGACCACTACCCAATGGCCAGCACCAAGGACCTCAGTCTCATGGCCACGTGAAACTGGATTCTGCCAACACACTTGGAAGTGGATTCTTTCTCTGAATCTTTAGATAGGGGCCCAGTGTGGCCAACATCTTGATTTTGGCCTTTCAATATCCTGAGCACAGAGCCCAGCCAAGTCCACCCAGACTTCTTACCTACAGAACTGTGAGCCCATACATCAGTGTTGTTGCACGTCACCAAACTTGTGGCGATTTGTTATGCAGCAATAGAAAATGAATACTGTGCCCTCTCCTTGGGCTCCATTCGGCTTTTCCAATTTTCTGAGATACAAGCTTAGTGATTGGCTCTAGTTATTCCAAGCTTTTGTCCAAGTGAGCCCTGAGGAACTGCCCCACTTGTTGTGAAACCGGTCTTTTGTGCCTGCAAAATCTGAGCTCCCAGCCTATGGATGTTCACATGTGACAACCTGGGGCCCACCTGAAGACCAGGGCTCGGGCCATAATAGATATCTTCAAGAAGAATTTTCTGGCACCAGCTAGTGGGTACTGGCTTCTTAACTGGGGTAGAAGAACGTGGACATTCCAAAGGCAAGCCTGGTGGGATCTTGGCTGAGGCAGCTTTCTAGCTTTCTGATTATGGTAGGCATTTTTACCTTTCTTACCTGTTGCTTTCCTTAGACGTTACATTGATTCTCCTTGGCAGGACTGGCCCTCAGGCAGCACTGGCTGAAGCATGTGGGGTGAAGTTAGCAAAGAGATAAAAACAGTGGTCTGGCAGGAGAGTGACACAGAAGGCCAGGTCTTATGGAACCTGGCTGCACCTGTCAGAATGTGAGAGGGAGCCCAAAGTAATGTAGGTGTGAATGTCCAAGAGATGCCAAAGTGAGAATCTCATTGCTCAAAGTGGATCTGCCTCTGAGGAATGGTTGAATGGCACGAGTTGACATCTTCCTCTTGGAAGGATGCTTGGCTCAGCTCCGTGTGATGGACGGATGGCAAGCTGGGGAAAGCCTGGGCTAGAAACCCTCAGGGTTCAGGCTGAGTTTTGTAAATAACCCAGAGCATCTGTTATGCAGGACCAGGGGCAGGGTGAACATATACTCCTGAAAAGGGATAACCTCCATTTTCCAGGTGTAAACAGCCTTGTCCCCAAAGAGGTGATAACACAGGTGGGCAGATAAAGACCAGAGAGCCCTGGCAAGTGGTGAGTGTATAGGTAAGGAAGGGAACTGTGGTTCCTGAAAAATCAGCAGTGGGTCTGTGAGAAGGACACCTGGCCAAGAGCCAGGGGGAAAAAAATTGCTTCTGGGTGAGTCATAAGGTCTATTTGGAGATGAACCAATTTCTCCACACGCTATAGGTGTCACTGGTGCCCGGAGAAGAGGAGGGATTTTATAGGCTCTGGAGGGTCACCTTGTCACTGAGTCCTTTGCCTGTGACTGTAGGCCCTGGTTGTGGTGGGGTAAGTACCCAGGAGGCTGCTGGGCCCTCTGACACAGGTAGGGCATATAATCAGCTAGTTTCTGGCATTGGTCACCACTGGGTGGCAATGCTGGGGGCTGGGTTCCACTGGAGGCAGAAAGAGACATGAGAGAGGGGAGTGCTGATGGGCTTACCTCACTGCTGGTTAACTCCCTTCCTGGGCATCCTAGGACTTGGGCTTATATTTGAAACATTACGATTTAGTAAATGAGGATTGAGTGTTCACAAATCAGCATTGCACATAACAAAGTCTCTTTATCACTTACCCCGATTAGCTGCTAATATCTCCAACTTTTCCTTGTCCTTGGCTTTTAGAAAGAAAAGTTTCAAGATGATTCGGTCCCAGTCCCTGTCTCTGCAAATACCGACGCAGCAAGATTGGAAGGGCCCCCCGACAGCCAGTCCAGCCATGTCACCCAAAACCCCTGTGCTCCCTGGAGCCACTTCCCAGCCCATGCCAGAGCCCTATGGCTTGCCCGAGTTCCAGCGGGTCACCATCAGTGGAGATTACTGTGCTGGGGTAAGGTGTCCCATTCCCTGCTCTCCCAAGGGTCCCCCTGGGGCCATTAAGTGTTATATGTGCCTTGTGCAGAGGCCAGAGTCTGTTAGGCTACTGGGGTCATGCCCAGCTCTGATGCCTGGCCCAATATGTGAGTGTCTGGGGAGAAGGTGCACAGGAGGCATAGGAGTCTGAAGAGAAGTTGGATCCTAGTCAAGGTTGTGGGATGTGGATGTGTCTAGGGCAGAGCTCATCCCTGTGAGGAAGGCCTAGGGCTGCAGACTGACATGCTATGGCTGTGGCCTGTTAAGTTCCATGAGGTCTTGGGGCCCAAATACTGCTTTCTGTCCCAGTGGTCCATTGAAGAAGGTACCCTGTAGTCTCTGTAGTGTACCCAAATGTTGGATGGATTCAGAGTCCTGATGTTGATTGGTTTGCATGAAATTGTTTATTGCTGATTCAGCTCTTCCTGTGTGCTTAGGTTTAGTATCCTAAAGTACAGCTGGACCCTCCCAACCAGGAAGAGAGGGTCTTGACGAAAAAATGCTGCATAAGCTTGGTTAACGCCAACTCAGATAACTCAGTCACTAAAAATGTACTAATTTCTCCTGGTCGGATGATACATTTTTCTGGCTTACTTCTTGAAGAGAAATATCACTCAGTGCTGGGGTGAAGTTTGATTCTATCTCCCTGACCCTCACCCTACTACTCATGACTCAATGGGAGTCTCAATTCTTTCTTTCTCTCTTCTTCTTAGCAGTAGTTTAAGAATATCTAGTTTATCTCAGAAAGCAAAATGGCTTACTACTCATAATTTTCCTCTAGCTTTGAAAAATATTTTACTTATTTTTTTGCAATAGAGAATCTTTGCATATGGTATAAAGTTTAAAAGGCACAACAGTTACATCGGTTCTCCAGCCACCCAGTACCTCTACTGAGAGGCAACCCTTGATTTTGGTTTCTTGTGTGTTCTCACATAGATGGCCTATATTGCCAATAATAAATTATGCACACATTATTTATTTATTTATTTTTCACAAACGACCATTTACTATACACATTATACTGAACCCAGGTTTTTTCACTTAACAGTATATCTTGTAGTTAGTGTCAAATTAATATATATAAAGAATGTTCTTGTTCTTTTTTTACAAGTGCATAGTATTCCATGGTGTGGATGTATCATACTTTAAGTTCCTCTGGATGGGGATTTTGGTTGGGTTGGAAATAGTGCAGGCCTTGTCTGAAGATGTGGCATCCTGACTAGAAGTCCTTGATGTCCACCCAGCCTCTGGCACATGGCAGAGCAGTGGAAAGGGAGAGTAGAGGTAGGTCAACATCCAGCTGAATGGGAGGATGTTGGCCTGGTACAGTAACTAGCTTCTTTCAGTCAGTCTCCTGCCTGGTACCCCTGAACTGGGCAGTTGGTCCCCAGAGAGCTACACGTCCATTGAGAGGTAGGCTGACCTTGCAGACCACACTGGTCCCCAGTGGGTCTGCTGCCAGGCACAGGGCCTGTGGTGCCTACAAGTTGGCTATGGCCAGTGGTCCACTGGGTTCTGTGTACCAACTCTAAAACTGTTAGTTATGGCCAAAACACCTTGCCATCCTGAGTCCACTGGTTCTGCAGTGTTCAGCTTTGTCATTGGCAGGGACATGTTTTTGCAGAAGGTGTTTGTGTCTGCTTACCTATTCCTCCTGCTTTCAGAAGCCATCCACTAGAAGGTGTAAAATGGAATTAACACACCCTCTTGGGGACACATGGGAGTTAGGGAAGGAAAAGCTACCTCCTTAACGAAAGGCAAGGAGTAACATTTTGTAAAAGCATAAAAATTTGTTTGGGAAAGCTGTATGCCAGATCGTTGCCTCTGAGGATGGAGTGGGGTGGAGGAGGAAGGAAAGTAGAGTTCTAGCTGTATTCATGATGATTTATTTACTCAAAATGAAGATCTGAAAACAATGATGAAATATATTAAAATTGTTAGGTCTGGAAGATACATGGATGTCTGTCATATTATCTTCAGTGCCTGTCTGCATGCTTAAAATATTTCAAAACCAAAAATGATTTTTTTATTAAAGCAGGGGAATCTCCCAGGCCCCAGCCCTCCCTACTCTGTGCTCCACCAGCATCTTGAACCTCCTTCTGCTGAGTCACTTATCCCCTGTGTTGACTGTGTTTAGCTGCTTGTCTCCCCAAGCATGTTCAGATCATTGACACATAGATCCTTCCCAAAGATTAATGAGCCCATTGGAAGATGGGATTTATCTCATTCATCTATGACTACAGGTAGCTCTGGGAAGGCAGAACATTCTTAGGTTTTGGGAATCAATCAGATCAGAATTTGAAGTCTAACTTTGTAACTTCTTGGTGAATGATTTACATCTCTGGTTTCTCCATTTGTAAAATGGGTTGCAGTGAGGACCAAAATGAACTTTATGGAAAGGGTCTGTCAGTAAGCACTTGTTGACTGGATGAGTTGGACGGTTACTGGGTCAATCAGAAGGCTGGAACTGGCAAAGCCGCAGACTGAGCAATGCAGAAGTTTTTATTTTTACCTCTGAACCACCCATGTATTTTCTTGACTGAAAATGATGACATGCCTATCACCAGAGGTGTGGTCCAGGCTCTGCCTCTCCTCCAGTGCAGCAGTAGGCTGTGGTTTAATCAGCAGCGCTCATGGCTGGCCTTGGGGTGTGCAGGCTAGAGCACCTGTCTTCTTCCCAGCAGCCCTAACTCTTCTCTTGTGTTGCACATTAGACCCCTGGGCTCAGTGATTTGCTAGGAGGGCTCCTAGGACTCAGCACATAGCTATACTCATGACTAGGACTTATTACACGAAATGATGCAGAGCAGAGTCAGCACAGGGAAAAGGCATAGCGAGTGAGGTCCCAAGGATGCCGCTGCAAGCTTCCTAGGGCCCCTTCCATGGAGTCACCAGAGCACACTTAATTCCTTCAGCATCAAATTGTGACAACATATGTGGGCTATCAAATACCATGGAAGCTCACTGGAGACTCAGTGCCCAAGGTTAATGAAACCTTGACTCCCAGCTCTCAGAAGGAACTCAGGTGTTCAGCATGAACCATAGTGTATGTACAAAGAGTTTAGGCACTCTTATTAGACAGGGAATGGTGGAATGCTCTTGAAACCCAAGTTCCCAACCAAGGGCCAGCCAAGGGCCAACCTAGCAGCACATTTTGCGAAGGACAGTGGCCTCAGGCCTGCTTTGTGAATGCTTTTCTTCACATCCGCTTCTGCAGATCACTGTGGAGGACTATGAGCAGGCTGCCAAGGGCTTGGCCAAGGCCCTGATAATCCGGGAGAAGTATGCCCGACTTGCCTATCACCGTTTCCCGCAGACCACATCCCAGTACCTGGGTCATCGGTGGGCAGACACTCCATGTCTGGAAGAGAATCTCCCAGGTAGGGCACTGTGGCTGCAGGTGGAGTTCTAAGGGGAGCATGGCCCAAGAGTTGGTCAGGACTTTTTACTGGCTGGGTGTATTTCCCCTAGGTGGTATTTTAGAGCAGAGTTCTGGTACTGGCTTCTCTACACTGATGTTTGCAGTCTTCCCTGAGAACTGATTCTATGTGCACTGTGTGCCTTTCCTGGGTACACTGTAGAAGTTAAGAGAGATAAAAGGTAGTCCCTCATGTTGGGGGTCCTCCAGGGATACAGTAAGTGGAGGCTATGTTTATGCTATGCACTTTGGAGAAGTGGAGATCAGAGAGGGCAGGATGGTTACTGGTGGATTCTGCCCTGGGAAGGACCTAGGAACAGTAGTGGCTGTGAGTTAAGTACTATGAATGAAGACACAGGAAACCACAATCTTGAAAGTCAGTGGTGGGGAATGAGCTGAAGGCTTGGTGGTCTGTGCAATTGCCCAGGTCCTGGCTGCCCCCTGGGTGTAGTTGGTGCCGAGATATCTTCTGTCTCTGGCTTCCTTGGAGCTCTGAGACCTGGACTTTGCACCTCTGTTACCAGGGGCCCTGGATAAATCTCATCCCTCCTGGGACCATTTCCCTGTCTGCCTGAGGGAAGTAGAACTCACTGCCCCAGTTTTGGCAAGGGCAGACACAGTACCCAGGGTCCTGGACATAAGTGTGGCAAGCTGGAGGCATGGCTTCACCAATGCCTTTGCACTGTCTGCATCTCACAGGCCACTAGCACACCTGAGGGACTCCAGAGCTGGCTTGTGGCTGTTCCTGGTGGGGGAACCCATTTCACAGCTCTGTACTGCTCTAGCCCCTGTGACACCTCATGTCTGCTGTAGAGGCAGTTTGTTGCTAACACTGATGGGGGACACCCAGTAGGCTACCCATCTTGGTGGCTTCCTTTGAAGAAGATGCCAGGGTTTCCTCCTGGCTGGGCCAGCAGCTGAGCAGCTGGACTTTGTGTGGGGCTGGCTGATGTGCAGAGTTGAAGCTCTCAGTTCTACTGATATTTAGCTGATCTGTTCCCTGGCCAGAGACAGAGCTTACCAAGAGTCCGGAAAATTCATTATGAGAGTAATGAGAACAATGCCCTATAAACTATGTGTCAGGTGTTCCTGTTGACAAAGCATTTTGCTGTACCTGCTATTGCAGCCCTCACAACAGCCTAAGGCAGGGGCTGTTATCCTCAGATGAGCAGACAGGATCGGAGAGGCAAAGTGCTTTGTCAAAGTTTCATAGCTAGGAAATAGCCAAGAGTCGTTTTCTACCTCCTGTGGGCTTACTCACAAAGCGCAGCTGTGGGGACAGAGCTCTGTTGGTGGGACTCCTTGTTCTGTTGGAGACAAGCTCCCTATTCTGTGCTCGTGTGGGGAGGGGGGTGGCTTCCTTATCAGCCCCTTGGCTGCCCTGGACTCACCAAGATGTAGGAAGACAGGGACAATTACTCCCCCTGGGCAATCCTAGGTGCTGTCTGTTCTCTTATTAGGAGAAGACACAGCTGCCCTTCTTAATACATCTGACGTCTCTGCAGTGCCCAGGAGGCTGAAGCTCATTTCCGTTAAATTTTAAAAATTTATTGTAGTGTCAACCATGTGCCACAGACTGTTTTAGGGAATGGGGATATGGCAATGAACAAAACAAACATATACTGTTCAAGATAAGTAAGTGCAATAGTTTTATAGTGGGAAGTGCTAAGGAGACAAAATAAAGCAGGAAAGGGGATGTGAGATGTTGGGGCACAAGGGGGTGGTTAGGTTTTAGATAAGATGACCAGGACTGGCCTCACCAAGAATGTGATTTGTGAGCCCATGTGCACTCATGAGGTCAAGGGCACTTTGCCTTCACTCAGTCCTGTTTTGCAGACTTCCAGCCCCCGCCACGGCCCCAGGAAGACCCTTACTGCCTAGATGATGCTCCTGCAAACCTGGGTTACCTGATCCGCATGCAAGGGGGCATCCTCACCGTGTATGATAGCAAGAAGATGCTGGAGCACCAGGAACCCCACAGCCTGCCCTACCCTGACCTGGAGACCTACACGGTGGACATGAGCCACATCCTGGCTCTCATCACTGATGGCCCCACGTAAGCCAGCTTTCCTCTAGTATACCTCCCTTTGCATGGGTGCTCTTCTGTAGGAAGGGTCTGGGAAAGGCCAAACAGGTCTCTCACCCTTTTGCTTTGGGATTTTCTGCATTAAAGTTGCTGTGTGCTGGTGGCCACTTGTGTACCTTAAAATGGCTGTCACCCCTCTCCCCAGACAGGACAGCAGTCTTGCAGAGTTCCCAGCCCAGGGCATCTCTGTAGATGGGGGGTGAGCAAGGAAGGCTGTTGCTTCAGGTTGTGGGTTTCCCATGTTTCTGGAGGGAAAAGTGCAGGGACCCTGGCACTTTGTACCACAGTCCCCATGATGCTTGCTGCGAGATAAACTGGCAGGAACTTGTCTTCCTGCATATGGCCCCTCACTTCTTGGTGAGCACTTCAACTAATCAGCAACGGAGGTTCATCATGCCTGGCCCCCAAGCCTCCAGGAATCGGTGCTGTGAGTGCCCAGCCAGGATTGGGAGTCTGGGGGAGGGAGAGGGTGCTGGTCACTGCTGAGGGATGTGTCTTGCCCTGCCTTTTGGGTTGTGCTGGGAAGGCTGCAGTGCCGGTCACCAAGGATGGAGAGTGGGCCCTGGAGGCATGGGCAGCATGGGTCCTGGTTCTTACTGATCCAAGGGCAGAGCTAAGACCAGGGAGGGGAAAGGGCAGTTAGGGAGGCTGCCCGTGACCATGTGAGGAAGAGCTTTTAGGGGACGCCTTGGAAGGGAGGAGAGAGGACCCTAGCTGCTCCAGGAGGTGTGAGAGCAGTGGCTGTCCTGTCTGGGGTCCTGCGGGGAGAAGGGAGTGGGTGAGATAACCTTTGAAATCCCTCTGACTCCAAGATTCTCTCATACTCTGCTCTGGGGCTCATCTCAGTAGACAGATTATGGCGATGTTCCAGGATTGGCATCTGCTCTTTATGAAAGTCTGATGTTTTGGATGTCAAGGGAGCTGCTTTTGTTTGGGGGCCACAGGGTACAGGATGGAATAAAGTGTGGTTGGAGGTCCCATGTGGCTTTGGGTGGCGGTGTGTGGCCAGGCCCTGGGCTGGGTGTGGGCTGGCAGTTGGCTGAGAGCAGCGAGTGCTCCACCTTCAGTGGCCTTTGCTGGCTGATGGGGGCATCAGTCCTTGCAGATTTCTGTCCTGGTAATAGCCATTCCTACATTCCTAATCTTTTCATGAGGCAAAACATCCCCTTGTCCTGAAACTTTAGAGTTGAGAGGTCTTCAGGTCTTGGGGTTCACCCTGCACCTACTGAATGCTCTGGGCCTGGCTGCTTCCTGTTGCTTGGGGCCAACGTGTCAGAGGGTGGTTTCTCTGCAGCCAAGGTGGGCAGGTCATGCCTTATAGTTTGACTGTATGACCTATCTTTTGGGCAGATAGGTCATAAACTCCTTTCAAGGAATTAAAGATGGCTGAGGATAGACAGGAGGATAGAAGGAATGAAGGAGGAAGACTGTTGAGCGTCCACTATGCTCAGTTAGGTGTTTCACACGCATATGCCAATTTAACCCTTACTTCTATATTGGGCATTGCCATTTCTGAATTTGTTCATGGGAAATAGAGGTTTGTGATTAACTGCCTAACCACATAAAGCTAGAATTCAAAGAACCTGGATGAGGCCACAAAGCTAGCTCTCTACTGCCCTGTATGGACTCTGCTCATTTCACAGAGCACACGGATATGGCTCTACAGTTCAGCTGGGTCTACACAAAGCTAGGACCTCCTCATCCCTCCCTGCTCCATGCTGACCTTCCATCCAAGGGTCAGTCCCTGCAGACACTGGAGGTCTCCAGACTGAGAGCTTAATATAACTTATCCTCAACTGTGGTTTCTTCCCCTTCCCAACCTGCAGAAAAACATATTGTCACCGGCGACTGAACTTTCTGGAATCCAAGTTCAGCCTTCACGAGATGTTAAATGAAATGTCCGAGTTCACAGAGTTGAAGAGTAACCCCCACCGAGACTTCTATAATGTGAGAAAGGTGCGTTAGTGGACCAGCGTGCAGAGCCACCCCTTCTCTGCCCCCTTCCAACCCACTGGGATGCCCTGAGCCAGTCTGGGGCTAGTCCTGTGTGGCCTTCCTTTGCCAGAGGAGTGTGATGTGTTCGTGCAGAAAGAAGACTGGTTGTGCCTCAGATGCTGCTTGGTTTGACTCTAAGTGGAAGCCTTTGTCCATTCATGTGTATCTGTTGTAATGTGCCTTCCTCTTTGGCAAATAGGGCATGGTCTGCTAATTGGCTGTAAGAGTTGAGGCCAGGCTATTTTTAAAGCGGAGGATGTATTAAATTCACTGTGGAGAGAAAAAGCTATTAAGATCTCTTTGGATTGGGAGTTTGTGGTTTGCTTCCTTTTGGATCAGGAGTGTTGAAGAGAAGCATCCCAAGTGCTCCTGTCTCGGTCCCTCCCTGAGGGGTGAGCAGCTTTGGCCTGGGCTCAGTACCTGCAGCCTGCAGGGGCTGCTGCTGGAGCAGGTGTGTATATTAAATGATTGTGACCTCCAGCTTTTCCATTTTCTTCCATTTAACTAATATCTGTGCTAAACATGGGGCATTTGATTGTGAACAAGTCACTCCCTGTCCACAAGAAGTTCCCAGCCTATTGCTATTAGTGTGGTAAGTGAAGTGACAAGGGTGGCTTTCAGGAAGAGGCCAGAACTGAGCTGACTTAAAGAATGGGTCAGAGTTAGCCAGGCGGAGGGTGAGGTAAGGAGTGGAAGTGAGGGCATTCCAGGCAGAGGGACCAGCATGGGAAACACTCGGAGGGGGGTGGGGTGAGAGAGGAGAGAGATGCTGCTGCTGTGCTGACATAATGCGAGCAGTGCAGTGGGGCAGGGGCTCAGGTGTTGGGGGAGAGGGTGGTGGTGGTTGTGTGGCGAGTGAGATTCTGAATCATACGGGGGCCCATGGGTTTCTCAGAGGAAGCAGGGAGGCAGGCCCGGTTATGTTGGTGCTCTGGGAGAGGAGCACTTGGGCAAGGGTAGAAAGTGGGCCAAACTTCAGGTGAGTCACAGTGGGGTTATCATCTCCCTAGGGTCCCCTCTCCCAGATGTGACCTCTTGAGGACTGCCCCTACCTGGGGTCCCTTTGATAAGGGAGGGTAGGCAGGCCAGGGAAGGGTGTAGCCCCTCTGGGAAGCCCAGTTTGGGCCTTCTGCCCTCCTGACTGGGAACACTGATCACTGCTACACTGAAGGCCTCCTCTAGGGGGGACCTAAGGTCCCCTCTGTTAAGTCCAGCAGGGACTTCTACTCAGATGGGGTCATGAGCGTTAAGAATGAGAATTTGGTTTCAGCCCATGGGCTGAGGCTATGGAAGTATCTGGGGGTTTCCAGGCAGAAGCAAAAGGGCATGTGTTGACACCACCTACTTGGCATTTTCCCCTTAAAGCACCATTTGTTCCTTCTTTGTGCACAGCAGGTGCTCAGACAGGTGGATGCCTGAGTCACTGTGCCAGCAGGTCTCCGCCCTGCCCGAATGTCCCCCACATGCCCTGATGGGTGTCCAAGGAAACTCCCTGCCCAGCCCAGTGCAGGCCTGCCCTCTGCATACGGAAATACTCTATGCCTGACTGCTTCTTGCTGCCTGGGACCAACGTGTCCTCACTGGTGGCAATGACTCCAGAACTGTTTGCTTCTGAGGTAGGGCCCAGTGGATGTTCCTGGGCAAAACAGCTGCTCTCTGCTTCCTAGTGTGGGAGACAGTCCTGCTGAAGGCCTGTGATTACATACCAGAGCCGATCCTTGGGGTCCCCTGTCAGTCAGAGATGGCCTTGACACCTGTTCTCTGGCACCACAGCAGTCCATAAACACAGGCCTAGGTGTGTTCCAAGTCAGGCCTGTGCTTGCCCCTCCCTGCCTCCTGGGTGTTGGCTGCTTTATCTTGCCCTACAAGTTTCTACTTTGGGAGGAGAGATGGCTTTCTGAAATGTAGAATGGGCTGGAAGGGTAGCCTCCATATTTCCATAGTAGCTGTCAGCGTTGTGAAGGCAGGCCAGGGCCATGCTCTAACGCAGAAGCTGCGTGTGGCCATGGGTCTGTGTGGGTGGTATTTGTGAAAGTAACTGAAACATCACAGCAGGTCATGGGTTATGATACCATGAGGCCCAACAAGCCAGACTGTGTAACTGAGACAGTTGTTTTCTGTTCAAAGCTAAGAACAAGGGGCTGAGTGTGTTTGCTGCTCTGGAGTTGGGTAGGATCCTTATCCACTTAGATTTAAGAGTCATACCAGGGGTAGAAAATAGGTTTCATCTTCTGTGCCAAACCTGACCAATCTGAGAGTGGCTACCTGAGGCTATTCCCAAAGCTGCGTGAAAGGAGTGCTGTAATCGATTATTGATGTCTGCCATGTGTGTAGCAATGGGCAGTGTTGGCTTAGGGGCCAGGTACTGGCCAACCCTATTTAGAATCTCTACAGTTTGTTTAGACCTGGATCTTTGGTGAAATCAAGGCATGCATTTGGATCTTCTGGTGAATTGAAAACACTGATATCCAATGACAGGCTCTTATTTGTTCCTAAAATAATCACCTTGGAGATTCTCAAGTTTGGATTGCATGCTTTCTGAATTGTCCAGTTGTTTTCTTCCCTCATCTCGTGATTCATGGGGGTAAGGACAGGCTGAACCCCCTGTGGTGTGTCACTGGTATGCTGGAGGACACAACCAGAAAGCCCAGAATGTGCTAAGTCATGCTGAGGTAGTTGAGCCCAGCTGTGTCTGGCTAGGCTAAGCCTGGCTGACCTTCTCTTGTGCAACCCACATAAACCCAGCTCATCCTGGAGGTGCTGATTCTTTACTCTGTGCTTTTAGTGCTTTGAATGTTTCATTTCTCTGATGTCTAGTGGTATGTCTTTCTGGTTGGAGTGGCAGGATTAGTGGCAGGAAGGGCTCTGAGGAGTGAATGGTGTGGCAATGACATAGGCTGACTGGTATAATGCTCACAGAGGTTCAATAGGTCAAATATCTAGTTTGGTCTGGCTTGGAGATACCTGGCCAGCTGTGGACAGCATTCCCTGGCCTAATGCCTCATCACCCCAGCCTTGGCAGAGTGCCCAGCTGGCTGCCGCAGCAACTTCAGAGTGCAGTCTGGTAGCTGGCAGCATCCTGGCCTGTGAGGCTGCTGCTACCCTCTCTGGGGACTTTCCTTAGTCCCCTTGGGCTCAGGGAAGGAGGCTCAGGATGCCCACTGACTTCAGTTCAGAACTCAGCTTCGCCAAGGCTCTGTTTCTTTAGGGGCTGCTATCTGAAGGAAATGCTCTGGGGGTTCCAAAAGAGGCATCAACGAATGGGATTTTATGGGCCTTCAGGGTTTTATGAGGATGTAGATTATACTACTAAACTATTATCACCTACCACACCCATTCATTTGTTCATTCATCCACCCATTGATTCAACAAATACATTATATCAGGCTCTGGGATAGGTGCTGGAGACTTAGATGCATCAGACGTGATCCCTATCCTTGAGGACTGAATTCCCAATAGAGTGGATCAGGAGGAGTATACAAGTAATGGAAGTATCTGTGCTAGGTTTCCAGGTTGTACAAGGGAAAATGATCAGTTGTGCTTGGAGGATCAGGACTGGCTTCCCAGTGGAGGACGTCATGGTAAATTTCCAGGTGGATGAGACTGGTGAGGAGGAAGGCAGGCATGCTAGGCTGGTGAAACTCATGGGCACAGTGACTCAGTGTGGAATAGCAGTGCCTCAGCCACCTGTGACGAAATGATGTATCGTGGCTGAAGCATAAAGCCAGGCAGTGGCAAGGTGAGAGTTGAAGTCTGAAGCTAAATCTTGAATTCCAAGCTAAGGAGCTGGGCTTTATCTTGTAGACTTGCATACCATCGATGATTATCTTGATGTTGTAAGGAGGTGGACTGGACAGCAAGGCTAGAGGGAGGAAGACTGTTCCAAAGTCTACAAGAGAAATGGCACCCAGGCATTGGTGGGGGCTGCCTCCACAGCCCACAAAGTGCTGTGGCTCCATGCTCCATGCTGAGGGTTGGGTGCTCTGACTCTTGCTGCCAGGGGAGGTGGCCCAGGGCTCATGGGCTGGTGGGCACTGTGTTGCAGGTAGACACGCACATCCACGCAGCTGCCTGCATGAACCAGAAGCACTTGCTGCGCTTCATCAAGCACACATACCAGACAGAACCTGACAGGACTGTGGCCGAGAAGCGTGGCCAGAAGATCACCCTGCGGCAGGTGTTCGACAGCCTGCACATGGATCCATATGACCTCACTGTGGATTCCCTGGACGTCCATGCGGTGAGTGAGCCTCTGCTCTGGTGCCTCATGCAGTCCTGGTTGGGGACTCAGCCCCCTGGAAAGCAGCCATGATTGTGCTTGGGGAGAGGCTGGCTGTGTAAGCAGCTTTTTCTCTTCTAGCCATGGAAACTGTGAAAGGTAATTTGGCTTCAGAGAATAATAGGGCTAGGAGCAGCCAAGGGACAGGGGAAGAATGTGTGACTTGGCATCAGACAGGTTCCAGTTCTAATTCCACTTCTGTGTGCCCTTAAGCAACTCCCTTAAGCATTTTTCCCTTTGCTTATAAAATGGTGAATGCTATGTGCCTTATTGACATCACAAAGTTATTAAAATGCTAAATGATGATGCAGGTGCTATAGAAAACATGGAGTTTCCTCAAAAAGTTAAACACAGAGTTACTATATGATCTAGGAATTCCACTCCAAGGTATATACTCAAAAGAAATGAAAGCAAGAATTCAGACAGATACTTGTACACCAATATTCATAGCAGCATTATTAACCATAGCCAAAAAGTGGAAACAACCCAAGTGTCCATCAAAAGATGAAAGGAAAACAAAATGTGGTAGATCCATACAGTGGAACATTATTCAGCCCTAAAAAGAAATAAAGTAAGTACTGATACCTGCTACAACATGGATGAAACTTGGAAACGTGCTAAGTCAAAGAAATCAAACACAAAAGGACAAATACTGTATGATTCCACTTGTATGAAGTACCTAGAACAGGCAAATTCAGAGACAGACAGGAGCTGAGGAGAGGGAGCCATGGGGAGTTGTTTAATGGGCATAAAGTTTCAGTTTTACAAGAGGGAAGGAATTGTGGAGATGGATGGTGGTGGTGGTTGTACAACATAATTAATGTATTTAAAATCATTGAACTGTACACTTAAAAATTGTTAAAATGGTAAGTTTTGTGTTACATACATTTTTCTACAATAAAAATATCTTAAAACAGTGAGATAATGTGGAGAAAATGCCTGATGAAGTCTAAGCAGTAAAAGGACACACCTGATTCCTCACTGCTTGGTAGTTCAGTGCTCTCTGTTTGGTCAGCCAGCCGTGCTCCTGCCACGGCACCTGGAGCACGAGGCCCCTGGATCCTCCCTCACAGAGGACCTCGTGGGGGACCCAGGGCTGATCCGCTGAGGACGCCTGGTCCTGGCCCGGGACTTCTAAGACCGCCTGTAGTGGCATGAGGGGGCTGTAGAACAGTGTGGTCATCGGCTGACGGTCTCTCTTCAGGGCCGGCAGACATTTCATCGCTTTGACAAGTTCAACTCTAAATACAACCCTGTGGGGGCCAGCGAGCTACGTGACCTGTATTTAAAAACTGAAAACTACCTGGGAGGAGAGTACTTTGCTCGGATGGTCAAGGTGAGTGAGCCCTCGGCCTCTGCGAGCCCTCTTCAGGTGCCTGACAGCACCTGCTCTCTAGGTGAGGACTTTCTGTTCCTCCTGTCCTCTTCCCTTCCGTGAGTTCCTGCACATCCCATCCAGCTCACACGGGGCTCAGGTGCCAGGAGCCCAGTCCCAGGGCCCTGACTGCCAGCTCCCAGGCATGGGCAGGCTGGTGCTGACTGAGCCCACTGCAACCAGAGGGGGAAGGTACCAGGTACCCACCCCAACAGTGCTCACAGCATCCAGGCTGGCTGCCCATGTGTCTGTGGCCTGAACTTGGCTGAGTACAGATTACTGCCATTTGGGGACACTTCTGCTGTCTGGCCTGCTTATTCATGTGCCTGTGCAGTCCCCAGGCCTTTCCCTAGGAAGGAGCCTAGGCTGAGGTGCAGTGAGGCGATGGACAGCAGGCCTTCCCAGCTGGGGAGCAGGTGGCTGAGGGAGCTGTGGAGTCCAGCAGCTGGGGTGCTTGTGGGCTGACCCGAACTCTTCTTGGTGCCAGGAGGTGGCCAAGGAGCTGGAGGAGAGCAAGTACCAGTACTCAGAGCCTCGGCTCTCCATCTATGGCCGCAGTCCTGACGAGTGGCCCAACCTGGCCCGCTGGTTCATCCAGCACAAGGTTTACTCACCGAACATGCGCTGGATCATCCAGGTGCCCCGGATCTAGTAAGTGGGGTGGCCTGCTGTCTGTTTGTGCCCTCTGGGGACACCAACCTGTCTTGTGTGGGCTACTGACTCTGCACTGTTGAGGGGTGGGACTGTTCCCATGCCAGCTTAGGCTCCTCCTCCCTAGGGATTTTTCCATGGGGAAGGATGGTCAGCAAAGGTGTCCTTGTGACACTTACACTCTTGTTCTTTGAAGAACATATATGCGTAAGGCCTGGTGGGAACTACTGCCTATCTTCTTCTCATTGGGGTTTTAGGGTGGATTATCCCTTTGGGTGAGACCTGGGCTATGAGTGACCTGGTGGTGGCCTGCATTGAAGGCCCTCTCCCTGGATATGACTCAGACCACCACTGTCCTCCCCAGGCTGGCCAATGTGGGGCTTATAGCCTTGGGATGGGGTCGGATGTGTGGTTTACTGAAGTTGAGCTGAGTGGCAGAGAGTTTGGGTCACAGAAATTTGTGGACTCATTTCTCCGACCCTTGGTTAGTCTGAATTCCAACACCCTACTCCCAGCATGATCTCTAGCATCGAAAGCTCCTGATGGGCATACGTAGGTGTTGAGTTTGCAAACTAATGCCTGGTATTGCAGAACTTGCTGGGAGGTGGAGAGGAGGAAGGACTTATTTCAAGCCATGCCTTTGACTCTACTCTGGGTATTTAAATGGGGACATAGGCTGCTTGAAGAAGGGACTGGGGCCATTCTCTGACAGCCCAAGAAGGCTGTTTGGCTGACCTTATTTAGAGACTCTTTGCTTCCCCCAGTGACATATTTAAGTCAAAGAAGCTGCTGCCAAACTTTGGGAAGATGCTGGAGAACATCTTCCTGCCCCTTTTTGAGGCCACAATCAATCCCCAAGATCACCTCGAGCTTCACCTCTTCCTCAAATATGTAAGTGTGGGTGGTACCCCAGATGATGTGTGCAGTGGTAGAGGGGAGAGGATTCCTAGTAGGATGGGTCAGACTTCATTTCTCAGATCCTGTCCCTGTGTGTCCCATGCAAGGGGTTGCCAGCTCCAAGAAGCTGAATTTCTGAAATAACAGGCTAGCTCCAGGGATGGGGAGTCCCCTTTTCCTGAGGGGCAGCTCTGGGGTGTGGTTGGTCTGCTGGGAAGGCAGTGGAGGGAAAAGACTGAGGAGTTCGTTCCTGGCCAGGTGGGGCTGGAAAGTCTGGATCCTGCCCCCAGCAGCAACTGGCAGCAGCCCCAGGTCTCAGAAATGCAGGCCTTTCTGCACTCCGGCATTTACCTAGCAACTATGGTCCTTTTGCCTAGTTTGATTAAGGACACAAGCCCCACAAAACATATATATTTGTTTAGTTATGGAAGAGGGGAAGAAGGGATTGAGGAGAGACTTAACCAGAAAGGGTATGAGGGGGCAGGAGTTAGACCCTCCCTCTGGGAGCCCAGAATAGAGGTGGCTGCAGACAGTGAGACACAAGTTCAGTAGCTGGTGGAGGTTATGAGGATGATTTCTGATAGGAAAGGAGGCAGGGAAGATTCCAGAATGCTGAAGTCATGGAAGAGGGATGATTGAGTCTGCGCACATGCAGAAGATTGCCAGGAAAGTGTTTTGAACAGGCTGAGGAACATCACTGAATTTATGTTTCAGACAAACACCATTCTGACTGTTGTGTGGAGAAGAGCCTGGAATGGGAGGTAGCTGGAGGTGGGGGAAGGAGGCGAGATGAGAGTCAGGGGTTCACTCCAGCAACGGAGACTGTCAGTGAGGGCTTTAGCCCCCAATAACAGGTCACATTTATTCTTTGCTGCCTGCGCCAGTTATCCATGCCATGACATGATCTTGCTTCAGCTTCACGATTACCTTCTTGACATCATTTTTTTTGGTGTTAATAATAAGCAGAATTCTTATGTGCTTGCTGTGTGTTAGGCAGTATGTTAGGTGCTCTCCATGGATTATCTCATTTAATTCTCACAACAGCCCTGTGAAGCTACTAGCTCCAATTTACACATGAGGAAATTACAACTGAGAGGTCACAAAGATAAAAAGTAGCAGAACTGGGATGCATAAAAAGTGTTTGGATCCAAGCACGTGTCATTATCCCCAAGCTACGCTGCCTTCTGAGTAAGACAAGTGAGGTTTGTACAGAAGGCAGGCCGGGGACTCTGGGCAGGATGGTAGGAATGTGTGTAGAATTGATGGGGTCTGGGCAAAGCCTAAGGTGAGCAAGAGGGAAGAGTCTAGGGTGCCTCCCCAGTGCCTGCCTTTGTGGGGGAGTGGATGGTGTGTTCAGAGGTCACTGCCAATAGTGGGAAGGCCAGGCTTGGAGAGGAGAAGCTGGGGTTGGGTCACATTTTGTGTTTGAGTTCCACAGGAGGTCCAGTGTAAGACCCTGTCTAGGTTGGACACAGAGCTCAAGAGAGAGGCTGACATTACTCTCTGCCAGGCCCTGGAGAATTCAGGTGAAGCACGGGGTTAGTGAGGGCAGAGCAGAGCTCAAGGCCCTATGCCAGCCTCCCAGGCCCATCTGGGCCATGTTGAGAGCTGTAGTGTTATTTCCTTTTTTTTTTTTTTTAAATAAAAGTATCATTGATATACAATCTTATGCTGGTTTCAAATATACAACACAGTGGTTCAACAGTTACCCATATTATTAAATCCTCACCCCCTGCCCCAGTGTGGTCAGTATCTATCAACATAGTAAGATGTTACAGAATTATTAATTGTATTCTCTGTGCTGTATCATTCCTGTGACCAACCTATACTGTGATTGTGTCTCTTTAGTCCCTTCCCCCTCCCCCACTACCCTCATCAACTCTTCCTCCTTGGTAACCACTAGTCCCTTCTCCGTGTCTGAGAGGCTGCTGCTGTTTTGTTCCTTCTGTTTTGCTTTGTTTTTATACTCTACAAATGAGTGAATTCATATGGTATTTGTCTCTCTATGCCTGGCTTATTTCACTGAGCATAATACCCTCTAGCTCCATCCACGTTGTTGCAAATGGGAGGATTTATTTTCTTTTTATGGCTGAATAATATTCCATTGTGTATATGTACCACCTCTTCTTTATCCATTCATCTACTGATGGACACTTAGGTTACTTCCATATCTTGGCTATTGTAAATAGTGCTGCAGTAAACATAGGGGTGCATATGTCTTTTTGAATCTGGGATCTTGTTTTCTTTGGAGCCTGGGTCAAATGGTATTTCTATTTTTAGTTTTTTGAGGAACCTCCATACTGCTTTCCACAACAACTGTACCAAATTACATTCCCACCAATGGTATAGGAGGGTTCCATTATTTCCTTTGATACATATGGCTCTGTGACAGGAAAGATTCTGTCAAGACCCTGTGGTTCTTGTTACTCTGGGCCCTTACTGCCCGTATAGGAATGGAGAGGCTGGAAGACCATCAGTGGCCCGGGCCTGGGCTGGGAGCCCCCCAGTTTGGGTATCTGTGGTGTTAGGTAGCCAGTCTTTCAGAGACCCTCCCCCAAAGTTCTACTGTGGCTGTGTAAAAGGAGGGAGAGGTGTTAGCAAAGCTGCCCCTCCACACTGGCTACGGGGCTGTGTATATTCTTGGTCAGGGCCTGACCTGTGAACCAGGTGACTAGGGAGCCTGCGAATAGACCGGGGCTTCCAGGGGCAAAGTTTGGTTCCCAGCTGAGGTGTAACTGCAGTGGAAGTCTGAGCATCTCCTGAGCATCTCTGCCCCAGAGAGCGGTTTCCAGAGAGGAGTAGAAGAGCAGAGCCACCTCCCTCTCAAGAATCATGGTTTACCCTTCCGAGGGGCCCTCCTGGACTGGACACACCTTGACTGGTTTGTGAGACATCCAGGCTGGTTTCTCGTGGCTATACCTGGAACATGCCCTAAGGCATCCTCTACCTGCAGCCCCAGAGAGTCTAGCCTGAGCTTATTTAGGCTCAGAGCCTGGTTCTCATATGGACAAGCTCCTAATCACTTTGGCCCTGGTTTGTCATAGTCAAGCCTTCACAGGGCTGCTCTCAGTATTAATTAGCTGACATGTGCTAAGTGCTTCAAGCAGGGCCTGACATATAGTAGGTGCATGGAAAATGCCTGTCCCTTCCCCCTCATAACTGTTGTAACTGCTGCTGATGGTGGTGGCTGTAGGCTACCCTGCAGAGCTAGCTTCCTCCTTGGCACAGCACAGGGATGGGCAGTGAGTACACTGTTCACCTGGTCTGGCCTGAGAGTTTCCCCTCACTGTCGCCACTAACACACACGGGTTGGTGCTCTTCAGTCTGGTCTTCTGGGTGCCTTTGGAAGGCCTAGAGGGACAGACTGTGGCATTGTGTCCACTCCCCATCCCTGGGAGGAATGTGGCCACAGGATCCCCAGCTGAGGTGTGAACATGAGGGGCCTGGATTCCAAAGCCTTTGGCAACTCATCTGCCTTGGCTTGATGCAGGATCCCTCCTCCTGCCCAGGTGACAGGGTTCGACAGTGTGGATGATGAATCCAAGCACAGCAGCCACATGTTCTCGGAAAAGAGCCCCAGCCCAGACATCTGGACCAGTGAGCAGAACCCACCCTACAGCTACTACCTATACTACATGTACGCCAACATCATGGTGCTCAACAACCTGCGCAGGTGGGTGAGTTCAGCCCCTGAACATGTCCCACAAATCCAGGGATATGCCCCAGCGTGTACACATGCATCCACGCCCATGCAACACACACGATCATGCTACAGTGCAGCTACATGCTGTGCCTGTGCGCTGGGTTCATACACCACCCACTGACACCTACAAGTCTACCTGTCTATACAGACATAGGACATGCCAGCCCATACATGTCTGCATAACACCACACCAACAGTATTCACACATGCTTTTATTCATGCAACAAATTACTGCACCTGCTCTGTGACAGGCACTGTCCTAGGCACTAGACATATAGTAGGGAATAAAACAGACTACATCTATGCTGTCATGGAACTTATATCCAATGGTTGTGCATGCACAGCCTCCCACCCAATGCATGTGTATGCACACATGCACACACACACACACACACACACCAGGCACACATGGCAGAGGCAGATGCCCAGGGCAGCAGGACATGGAGCCATTTATTCCTCTTCCTGCAAGGTGAGCATCCCACATGCCTCTGCTGGGCCGTGTGCTGCACTAGCTCAGCCAGGCCAGTGCTAGCTTGTGGGAATGTAGGTATCTATGGGTCCTGATTGAATGATGGCCTGGTGTTGGGGTGGGATGGTCTGGGACTGAGCTTTTGGAGGTGGAGGCTCTAGCTTTATCTCTGCCATTGACCTGCTCAGTGCTTCTAACGTCTGACTCCACCCACTGGGTTTGCCCATGTTTATAATAAAGCAGTTGGACATGATGTTTCTCACTGCCTTTCCTGCTCTGAAGGTCTGTTAACCTGGGCTACAAGGCCTGGTGAAGAGGGGAAGGAAAGGAGTGGGCAAAGGACAGGGCAAGTCTCTTTTTATCACTAGGCCCTCTCTCTGTTCCCTGGAGGTGGTGTCTCTTGGTTCTGAGAAGTTCTCAGCCTGGGCCTCTATTTTGGGATGAGTAATTTGCAGGGCACCCTGTGTCAGCTGTGCTGACCCTGCCATGGGTGACCATCTCTCCTGGAGGAGACCCTGAGGTGGAGACCCTGGGCTGGTGGGGACCTAGGTGGGGTGGACCAGGTGTCCTTGCTGACCAAGAGACTCACTTCTCCTACAGGGAACGAGGCCTGAGCACTTTCGTGTTCCGGCCGCACTGTGGGGAGGCTGGCTCCATCACCCACCTGGTTTCTGCTTTCCTAACTGCTGACAACATTTCCCACGGGCTGCTCCTTAAGAAGGTAAGCAGGCCACTCACAGAAGCCTGCCTTGCAGTGATGGGCCTACCCTAGGCTCCCCTGGGGAGGAGTGGAATCATCTGGGCTCTTGTCTGCCCCCTGGGAGGCTCTGGCTACTGCTGCTAAAAGGCCAGGGCCTTTTTCTGAGCTCATCTTCATCTCATGTTTAATTATGAAAGTAATATAATCAAACCCATCACAATTTAGATTTTCAAAAAAATTGAGAATAAAAACCCTTATTGCTATTACTTCAATAGAAGTAGCCATTATTAGCTTTTTAGTATTTATAGTTCTCATCTTTCTTACCAGAACATATTTCTAATGTGCTTATTATCATGAGGAACACAGATTTTTGGTTCTGGCTTTGTCCCTTAACTTGGTATAACAAGCATTTCTTTGTGCTGTAGCATAGTACCTATGCTCCTCCTTCTGAAGGCTGTTGGAAGGATGGCCCATCACCTGGCTGGCCTATAATTGGTTGGTCTGTAGGCTCTGGTTGTTGGACAGAGTCCATCCAACTTTTCACTTGTATAAATAAGGCAACCTTGAACTCTGCGCATCCCATCTGCTCCGTATTTTGGATCGCTTCCATAGGAACAATGTTTGCTTGAACTCTGTTCCTGCCTTGGTCCTGCAGAGGGCCAATGTCAAGTAACATTTCTGTGTGGGGCAGGTGCTACATCAGAAAAGCTCTCTAGCCTGGTCAGCTCTTCCCCTTCCCATCTCTGAGGAGATGGAGTGTTTACAGTCTCAACCTTGAATGTTTTCAGTCAAAGCAACAAAATGAGAAAAAGGGGGCACCTCCTGGACTGACCCAGGGTCAGTGCCTGGGGGAGATGAGCTGAATCAGTCAGCTGGGGTCAACCTGTGGCCTTGCGGCTGCCCTTCCTGCCCTGAGCTGTGCCTCAGTTTGGAACCAGGAGGGAGCACTTCCAACAGTGGGTGGCAGGACACTGTCATGGAGGCACGGCATGTGCTGTAGGAATGAGTGCACAGAGGTCGGGAAAGGAGAGTGGGTCCGAGTCTTCTGGTTTGGGGCGGGGCTCAGCTTGACTAGGGAGCTGCACAGACCCCTGGCCTCCACTGGAGAATGTTTCTCCCCTCCCTTCCCTGGCACTAGTCCCCTGAGAATGCTGGTTCTTTTGCAGAGTCCAGTGTTGCAGTACCTCTACTATCTTGCTCAGATCCCCATCGCCATGTCTCCTCTCAGCAACAACAGTCTGTTTCTCGAATATTCTAAAAACCCTCTGAGGGAATTCCTGCACAAGGGACTGCATGTTTCTCTCTCCACTGATGACCCCATGCAATTCCACTACACGAAGGTGAGGACTTTAGGGGCCCCAGTGGGCACCTGGGCTGGCCTCCCATTACAGGCATATGAACTGAGTAAGTAGAGTAGGTTGGGGTCAGTCTGGGGCCTTGTAGCTGCTCTTCCTGTCATGAGCTGTGCCTCAAGACACAGGGGGCGCTCAGTTCTACTCTTGGGGTGAGATTGGTGGCCCAGTGGAGACAAGAGGTAAGCCCCTGGTAAGGATGTGTTCCTTCCAAAAGACCCTCTCTTTGGGCTTCTTGAATCTTAGAAGGCACATTTTCATTTATTTTTTGCCGTCTCTATTTTCTCTTTCTTGTACAAACTCTGTGATGTTCGTCAAGTTACTTGACCTCCTATATTTTATTCCTCTTCATGTGTAAAAAAAATAGGACCAGCCATTATTGTACCTAGTACATTTTGATGATATTGGTAAGACCAGTCATGGATTAATAAAAATAGGAGTGCTTGATTAGTAAACATAGAAGTGTCTTCTAGGAGGTTCTCCAAGTTTTTGGTCTCAGGATTCCTTTATATTCTTAAGAATTGAGACCCTCAGAGAGCTGTATTAGGTGAGTTATATCAAATGATATTTGTTTTAAAAACTAATGACAAATTGAAAAATATTAACTCATAAAAAATAATAAACCTATTAAATGTTTACATAGAAAATTTTATGAAAAAAAGAAACATATTTCTCCAAACAAAAAAAATGATGTTTTACATTTTTGCAAATCTCTTTTAATGTTTGGTATAATAGAAGACTGCTGGATTCTCCTATCTGCTTCTGCAGTCAATCTGTTGTGATACAATGTTTTTACCAAAGTATATCAAGAAATCTTGCCTCACAGAGATACATAGTTGGAAAAGGGATAACCTTTCAAAAGGCCTTGGACCACATTTTGAGAACTGCTGCTCTTAAGGCAATGGGATGGTGAAGAGGTAATAGAAGGGCTGTGATTAATGCCAGACATTTCATATTCCAAAAGCTAAAACAAAAACATAGCTCAAACCCAAATCCTTTTGGGATTACACTATCTCACTACATAGACTTGATCATTTCTCATTCATATTTAATGTTCCATCTCTGCTCTTGATACCTTAGATTTTTATTTTTTCAGAATCTTAAGAAAATGGTGTCTTAAATAAAAAGGAAAGCACTAAAGGTACTAAAAATGTGCATGACCAGGGAGACTGCCATAGGAGAGCAGAGGCTGGCATTCTCATGACTGGCACAGGGCTTCAAACATGTGCTGTTCAATGAATAAATGTTCTTTGACATCTCTCTTTGGAAACCTGAGATTTCCACACAAACCTGATGGGGTTGGCAGGCGGGGGGGGGGGGGGGGGCGGGGATCTTGTTCGGTTACCTAGGTGCCAGACATTAAAGAAAAATGATATCTGCAAAGCTTATGTCTCTAGTTTTGGAAATGTGTGAAGCATTGAATGGATATTTTGCCATCTAATACATTTCCTTTTGGGGGAGTCTAGGAAGCGCTTATGGAAGAATATGCAATTGCAGCTCAAGTGTGGAAGCTGAGCACGTGTGATCTGTGTGAAATTGCCAGGAACAGTGTGCTGCAGAGTGGCCTCTCGCATCAGGTACAGTGTGATGACACTGTCTGCTGTCCTTCCTGCCCTTTCAACACACATACAATGAATGCCTGCTGTGTGCCAGGCACTTTCTAGGCATTGGAATCAGTGATGAACAGAACAAGTAGGGTCTCTGTCACACTGAAACTCATGTTTTGGAGAACCCTGGGGAGGGTCCTGAATTTTCATGGCTGCTGTCACTTTTACAAAGCTCTACTCAAATGTCACCTCCTCTGAGAAGCCTTCCCTGATCACCATTCTACAACAACTATACACCTGTCATCATTCTCCATCCCTTTAATCTGTTCTTATTCTTAACATTTACTACTACTGACATTATAATATGTAGTTATGTGTCTTTTTTTCTAGAATGTAAATTTCATTAGGGCAGAGAATATTTTGTTCAGCATTAGTTCCCTCAGGCCTTGAACAGTCCCTGGCACATGGCAGGTACTCAATATTTCTTCAACAGATGAATAGTACCTAGATTGAATAGAAAACTCCAGGGAGGGGAACCAGGCATCAGTATTTTTTTTATAGGTCCCTAGGTAATTCTGATATGGGGCAAGGGTTGAGAACCATTGCTCTAGATGGTGTCATAGGTCCCTGGGTACCTTCCCTGGGTGATGTTACTGGTATAAGAAGAGGGCTGCACTGGTGCTGCTCTTGTTGGATGCTGATGCAGAGAAGAGTTAAAGGCTTAAGACTGAATTTATGCCAGCTTTGTTCCCTGTCTGCCCTTGTCAACTCTCAGAAGGGGCCTCTAAGAGCCTCACACCTTTGTATTGTCCTCTCCATCACTAGCAGCTCTTGCAGTTCTTATCTCTCCCTTCTCATCCAGGAAAGCATGTGAGAAGTGAAGGGAGTGAATGTGGTTGTCAGGGTAACGTGCTTGAGAACACAGAGGCCAGGAGGAATTTTATAAGAGCACTGTGGGGAAACTTGTAAGATGTCCTGATGGAGGATCTGCTTCAGGGGGACTAGTTTGGTGCCATTAATGTCAAAGTTTCCATCTGGTTAGAGAAAGTGAACCTAAGATATATTGTTTTATTTCTCTTGGTCCACAGGAAAAGCAAAAATTTCTGGGACAAAATTATTATAAAGAAGGACCTGAAGGAAATGATATTCGAAAGACAAATGTAGCTCAGATCCGGATGATGTTCCGGTATGAGACCTTATGCAATGAGCTGAGCTTCCTGTCTGATGCCATGAAATCGGAGGAGATCACAGCCCTGATCAAATAGGTCCAACCTTGGACATGCATTTTAACTTTCTAGTTTAATTTCAAGTCTGCTGTGATTAACAGTAGTCAAGATATCAAACTAGGACTTTCTTCCATGGAGAGGATATCTCTAATAACTTTCAAACTAGTGATTTTGGTTGCACTGTTCACTTTAAGATCTAACATGTCCACTTCTGTTAATATTTCTGAATAAAAGACAGTGAGTTGTCCTTGGGATCTGGGAAATGGACACTTGTCTATACTCATTCCTAATTTTCCAAATATTTCTCTTGAAACTGCTAGTGCTTGCATTGTTGGATCTTGCAAGGTCCAAAGCCCACTGACATGAGGTCTGCGTGGGTTTTCTGCCATAGACTTATATTGGCCCTGCAGGCTAGTTGGTAGTTGTTTATTTCAGCCTCTGGCTGGCTGGCTGCCTTAAACAAATTCAATTTCAAAGCTCCCTTTCATAAAGGAGCTATTTTGAGAGAATTAAAATAGAAGACTTCCCTTTGTGACAAGTTGCATTTTTAATGACTTTTTAAAACTGTTTTATTTAGTCCTCCTCCTTCCTTTCTATTTAGGAAGCCAGTTGTGCACACTGAAACAGTCACTTCTATTCTGTGTCTTGGTTTCCTCATCTGAAAAGTGAGGGTTTGGACTAGATGAGTGGTTTTCAGTCTGTGTTCTATGAATCCCCCTCGCAGACCACTTCAGGGTTAGGGAGAGCAATGGGGAGTGAGGATCTGGGTGCTGCCTTTGCTTCTTCAAAGCAACTCTGCTTCATCAGTTTTACACTGGGACTTCTAAATATTCTCATTTGAACTAAAGACTTTGGAAAGCACAGGACTAGATGATCTCTGTACCTTTTGGCTCTAATATTCTAGATTACAAGACTGTAGCCCAATTATCATTTTACTTTTCAAGCGTTAGGCCAGAGAAGTGAAATTTGCTTAAGATCACACAGCTAAAAAGTAGTAAATAGGACTAGAACTAGGTTTCCCTACTCTTGATCTCATCCTCTCCCTACTAGTCCATTAGACCTCATAAATGTTAGATTTTTAAAAATCACTGTAACCTGGTACACTTATTTTTTTAAGGTAAAATTTCTCCCTTACCTAACACACAGACTTCAGAAGATATAATTAGTCCCAAGGGCCAGGTAGACAGCATTTTTTAAGACCAGGCTGAATTTAAGCTTTACCAGTGTACTCTCCATCTGTGTTACTAGTGCCTGGTACATAGTAGGTGCTCAATAAATATATATTGAATAACTGAATGAATTTATCTTCTGGCAACTTTTTAAGGATATATGCTCCTAGTACTCAACAAGCTACTCTATGTGGGCAAATGCAGACTACAGAAGTCCTTTTGAATCTAAATCACAGAGTTAAGAGAACTCAGTTTTTGCCTGTGAAAATGCTTATTTGACTTTAGATAGTCTTGTCCTATGACTTTACAATGCTTGTTCCTCCACTGGTTACCTTAGCATATGGGACAATAAATGTAATCTTTTTACTAGTAGGCAAAGATATATGCTATCTTACAGCTAATCATGAAAAGGAATGATAACCCAGCATTTACCTTAGGCATTCATTCTCTTTGAAAAGCCCCCATTTGTATATATTTGCCCTAACAAGGCCAAGTATTGTACAGTTTTTCATTGTCATTTTATCTCTATCACATATTTGTTTTTAATTATTAAATAAAGTCTCTTTGGACTGTGGCTCAGTAATTTAAAACTATTTCAAGTTAATACTATTTAAAGCAAATCTTTCACTTAGTCAAGTTTGGGCATGATGAAAAGCTACCAATAATAACCACTATTTTATCTTTTAGTAAGTCTTGATATGAATAACATTCACTAGGGAAATTCAAAATTTTCAAACTGAAGCTAAACCCAGAAGGTAAACCTTTGCTATCTTTTTCTCTAACTTCTGCCCTGTTACAGTTCAGGAGCAAAGCTATACATGTTCATTTCCTTTTCCCTGGGTATTATTTTAGTCTTTTCAGCCAACACTCATTGGATTTTACCTGTCCAGCAAAATTTTCAGACACCTTTTCTATAGCACTTTGCACTTTCATTACATCATTGTACCAACTGGCCCTTTTGTGGGGTGAATTCCTATTTTTGTGTGTGTGTTCACAGTTGGAATCAAAGGCAACTGTATACTAGCTCATGCTTCTAAAATAATAGTGGTTGAGGCATGTTATCTCTTTAAAAGGCTCAAGTTCACATTATGTGTTTCTTCAAACTGCACTGTTGAAATGAGCAATGTTATTGCTCTTTTTGCCACATGAAAACAAATCACAGCTCTGGGTTGGTATTTATCAAGGCCTGTCTGGGGCCATTGCTGTCTCTTATATTGGGTTAAAGCAGAGTTGAAAGCACAACCTTCTGGCTCTTTACTTGATTCTGAGTGCTATACTGGTGAAACAATATTCCTCTTTTTCTGGGTTTGTAGAGAGTAGTTGATGGTGAAGGTACTAGACCAAAGCACTCTATACCTGAACTATACTATAAAGATCAAGCATAACTAACTGCAATAAAAGGAATACTAATCAGGTAAACATAATTCCTTGGAAATTTTTACACCCTCAACCTCTAAATATTTTATTAGAAAGATAGATGATGCCAGAGGGTAAGCCTATAAATAATTGTAAGATTATCAAAATATGTTTCTGAGGAGGCTTTCAAGTCTTTGGATACCAACATATCTTCTTGGTACTTCTCCAGGTTGATATCTATCAGTACCTTTAATTATAAATTGCTACTCCTTCTTATTAATGGTTTTCTTCTTCTCCACACTAAGATTCTAACATGCTTCTCCAATTATGTTCTTTTATCTTAGAAATAATTTTATAAGATAACTATTAAAACTACTATAGGGTAGAATATTTTTTCAGTTATTTTCACTGTCCAATAGGGTAAAACGACATGCATACAAATGACTCTGTTGTCTACTGTTTATATTATATTGTCATTGTGTTGCTGGTCATAAATGTGGGTGATCAGCTGATTTCCCTAATATCCAAAGTAATTTTCCTACTCCTGGGTAGAGAAGTAAGCCTGACTTAATGAAAAAATCAGTTAAAAAATGCAAATTTTTTTGGACTGCCTTTTAATGAAGCCAACTTACCAATGTTATAAATCACTGAACCAGAGGTATTTTCAAGCAGCCTTATTACCTAGATATATATATTAGGTATAAAGAAATCGAGTCCAGTTTGAAATGAATTTTAGAACATAACACACAAACATCCCATCCCCGGAACACAGTACAAATATAAACATCTAGTGTATAAGAATGTGAAACTACATAAGTAAAAAAATCTTTGCAATTCGCTAAAATTTACTTGCTAAAGATTATTTATTGCACAATGTATCAGTCTGTCCTAAGAATAAAACAGATACTATTATTCTCAACTTCTAAAGTCAGTAAATAGTAAAATCCATTTTCTCAAGCTAAAGTTATACAGCATTATGAGTAAACATTTTGCTATTGAGTTAGGATAGGGAAAACTTTATAACTTATAAAACAAATTCCTTAGAGTTCATGAAACCATTGCACAAATCCTAGAAGGCACACATTATATTTCCCATCATAGTAAGTGCATTTAAGTACTTCACATTTAAAAAAGACAAAGCTGTACAGAATACAAAAAGTGTACAATGCATCCATTTAAACAAATTTACAACTTTTACAACTTTTATTATTATAGACCTACCTAATACTCACAGCTAAAGAATTATCACCCAGTTTAGTGAAGTGAGCAAAAAACTGTGCTCATTTATTTGAAAAGGCTAATAAAAACACTTTATATTTCACGGTAGATCAGTTAGTATCTTGGAGCTTATATTGGAAAATAAAAAGGTTTGAGCAGTGTCAAGTTGCTGGGCTCACTGTCAAATAATTTTTTGAAAGGCATAATTCATTGAAGAATTCTGGGGCATAAAATCATTAGCCATACTGGAAAGATCCAAAAATCTATAAAACAACTTTGTTAATTTTCAGAAACATTCTTAAAGAATCTGAATTAGATTTAGTAAGACTAATCCAAAAGAACAACTTAAAATCTGAGAACTAGAAAAGATCTCAGGTAACATCTGTCCCAAGATTTTCAAAGTATGTCCCAAGGAATACTAAGAATCCCTGGAGGAAAAAAATTACCTAAAAATCAACTCCCATCATGTAACTGTGTTACTCACCAAACTCTAATATACTGGGTATCATCAATGCATTAACACATAATTTCATTGGTGACTTTATAATATTTACTATATGAAGTTTCTATGAGGAAATTTTTATTAATAAAATATGACTTTTACATAGTGGATAGAGTGTGTATGTACATGCATGGAGCACGTCCACATAGGGGTTCTGAGTGAGCTTTTGGAAAAAAGAAAAAAGGCTCTACTGCTGAAATAAAGTGTAAAAACCAGAGAGAAAACCTCCGTTCCTAAAGCAGGCACCTACAAACCAGTGGAAGGGACTTTCTCAAGGTTACAGAACCATCAAGTACATTTCCAGGTTGGTATGACAGAGCCCCCAGAACTCTGCTTGAATCAACATCCATAGTGAGTATTACCTCTTTAGTACTGAGCTTCCCTCATCATAAATGGCAACCAATAAGTTACCATTATTTTGGGGATAAAATCAAGCTACCTTTGGTCAGACATTTTTCCTAGAAATTAATTTTTAATTTGCACCTATTAAAATCCTAGTATTCAAAAACTGTGCCATCATTAAGCAGCAACTTAAATTGTGTACTTTGGTACTGTAGAAAAATAGTAATATTTCCAATTTAACCAATAGTAAGTCAGAAAAGTTACATGGAATGTTAACATACTTTTTAAAGGAGACATTAGGCCCTAGTTTTGCTGTATGCTGAAAAGGTAATGTTTAACATAAATGCTCTTTTTGCCACATGAAAACAAATCACAGCTCTGGGTTGGTATTTATCAAGGCCTGTCTGGGGCCATTGCTGTCTCTTATATTGGGTTAAAGCAGAGTTGAAAGCACAACCTTCTGGCTCTTTACTTGATTCTGAGTGCTATACTGGTGAAACAATATTCCTCTTTTTTTGGGTTTGTAGAGAGTAGTTGATGGTGAAGGTACTAGACCAAAGCACTCTATACCTGAACTATACTATAAAGATCAAGCATAACTAACTGCAATAAAAGGAATACTAATCAGGTAAACATAATTCCTTGGAAATTTTTACACCCTCAACCTCTAAATATTTTATTAGAAAGATAGATGATGCCAGAGGGTAAGCCTATAAATAATTGTAAGATTATCAAAATATGTTTCTGAGGAGGCTTTCAAGTCTTTGGATACCAACATATCTTCTTGGTACTTCTCCAGGTTGATATCTATCAGTACCTTTAATTATAAATTGCTACTCCTTCTTATTAATGGTTTTCTTCTTCTCCACACTAAGATTCTAACATGCTTCTCCAATTATGTTCTTTTATCTTAGAAATAATTTTATAAGATAACTATTAAAACTACTATAGGGTAGAATATTTTTTCAGTTATTTTCACTGTCCAATAGGGTAAAACGACATGCATACAAATGACTCTGTTGTCTACTGTTTATATTATATTGTCATTGTGTTGCTGGTCATAAATGTGGGTGATCAGCTGATTTCCCTAATATCCAAAGTAATTTTCCTACTCCTGGGTAGAGAAGTAAGCCTGACTTAATGAAAAAATCAGTTAAAAAATGCAAATTTTTTTGGACTGCCTTTTAATGAAGCCAACTTACCAATGTTATAAATCACTGAACCAGAGGTATTTTCAAGCAGCCTTATTACCTAGATATATATATTAGGTATAAAGAAATCGAGTCCAGTTTGAAATGAATTTTAGAACATAACACACAAACATCCCATCCCCGGAACACAGTACAAATATAAACATCTAGTGTATAAGAATGTGAAACTACATAAGTAAAAAAATCTTTGCAATTCGCTAAAATTTACTTGCTAAAGATTATTTATTGCACAATGTATCAGTCTGTCCTAAGAATAAAACAGATACTATTATTCTCAACTTCTAAAGTCAGTAAATAGTAAAATCCATTTTCTCAAGCTAAAGTTATACAGCATTATGAGTAAACATTTTGCTATTGAGTTAGGATAGGGAAAACTTTATAACTTATAAAACAAATTCCTTAGAGTTCATGAAACCATTGCACAAATCCTAGAAGGCACACATTATATTTCCCATCATAGTAAGTGCATTTAAGTACTTCACATTTAAAAAAGACAAAGCTGTACAGAATACAAAAAGTGTACAATGCATCCATTTAAACAAATTTACAACTTTTACAACTTTTATTATTATAGACCTACCTAATACTCACAGCTAAAGAATTATCACCCAGTTTAGTGAAGTGAGCAAAAAACTGTGCTCATTTATTTGAAAAGGCTAATAAAAACACTTTATATTTCACGGTAGATCAGTTAGTATCTTGGAGCTTATATTGGAAAATAAAAAGGTTTGAGCAGTGTCAAGTTGCTGGGCTCACTGTCAAATAATTTTTTGAAAGGCATAATTCATTGAAGAATTCTGGGGCATAAAATCATTAGCCATACTGGAAAGATCCAAAAATCTATAAAACAACTTTGTTAATTTTCAGAAACATTCTTAAAGAATCTGAATTAGATTTAGTAAGACTAATCCAAAAGAACAACTTAAAATCTGAGAACTAGAAAAGATCTCAGGTAACATCTGTCCCAAGATTTTCAAAGTATGTCCCAAGGAATACTAAGAATCCCTGGAGGAAAAAAATTACCTAAAAATCAACTCCCATCATGTAACTGTGTTACTCACCAAACTCTAATATACTGGGTATCATCAATGCATTAACACATAATTTCATTGGTGACTTTATAATATTTACTATATGAAGTTTCTATGAGGAAATTTTTATTAATAAAATATGACTTTTACATAGTGGATAGAGTGTGTATGTACATGCATGGAGCACGTCCACATAGGGGTTCTGAGTGAGCTTTTGGAAAAAAGAAAAAAGGCTCTACTGCTGAAATAAAGTGTAAAAACCAGAGAGAAAACCTCCGTTCCTAAAGCAGGCACCTACAAACCAGTGGAAGGGACTTTCTCAAGGTTACAGAACCATCAAGTACATTTCCAGGTTGGTATGACAGAGCCCCCAGAACTCTGCTTGAATCAACATCCATAGTGAGTATTACCTCTTTAGTACTGAGCTTCCCTCATCATAAATGGCAACCAATAAGTTACCATTATTTTGGGGATAAAATCAAGCTACCTTTGGTCAGACATTTTTCCTAGAAATTAATTTTTAATTTGCACCTATTAAAATCCTAGTATTCAAAAACTGTGCCATCATTAAGCAGCAACTTAAATTGTGTACTTTGGTACTGTAGAAAAATAGTAATATTTCCAATTTAACCAATAGTAAGTCAGAAAAGTTACATGGAATGTTAACATACTTTTTAAAGGAGACATTAGGCCCTAGTTTTGCTGTATGCTGAAAAGGTAATGTTTAACATAAAACAAAATTTTACTTTATAAGAAAAATTTTTTTAAAATGGTTCAAGTACCACTTAATATCATAATTCCACTATGACTATACTCTGAAAAAGTATACTTCAGTGTATCCAAAGTACAGTGAAACAGTAAGAAGGCCAAATTATCTCTTACTTTTCAGAGGTGCTTATTGTACATATGATTAAAAGGCTGTACTCTATTTTCTAATTTGAGGATTTTGAGACCTCCGGAAGATGCCTTCAAGTTAAGAAAATAAAAGCACCATAAACCAATACTTAATGACTTATCAAATTTGGAAACATAAAATTTAGGATCTGTGATGAAGAAAAATTTCCTTCTAAAACTCCAAGATCATGAGCATTATCACAAGCTATTTAGAACAGTTCTCAGCTGTGGGGAAGTATTTCCAGGACAGCAAGGAAGATTTCTCAGGAGAAATCCATTTACAAGGCAAAGTCATGCCCAACTTTATAGTCCTCACCCAAATTATATAGCATGGAAGAAAAGACTTTTAAGTAAAAAGCACATGTAGTTCCAAAACACATGTAGTTCCAAAACACACTGCTAAAGTTATGAAGTAATTGTGAATCATTTCAAGTAAAAATTATTAAAGGAGCAATAATTAACCACAAGGGGGCATATATACTCCTTAGATCCAGCAAAAAGACTAATTTAAGTAGTAACATGCACTTTATTTTACATTTTCAGTCAGTTAGAATTTTCTCTCAGATGGCAACAATTTTCTAACATTCAAAGTTTGTTTTAAACCTAACAGATTCCATAATATTCCTGCCCTGAAAAATGGCAGTGCTTCAGAAGCCTCTGAAAATGTTGCTGCTACCTCAGCAAAGGATTCAAGAGCAGTTAGTTCTAAATATATAGTAGAACAGATAAATAATAGGAAAATATGTCTTATACAGTAGCAAATTTTAGTTTACTATGAGTGGAAGACATGAAGAGTTAACTAAAATAAATAGGGAAAAATGTCAGAATAGCAAAAATAAGAGGGTGGGAAAATCGATTTCTTTGTGTTTGTGCAACAGCATCCCTGAATTCCTTCCCCATGACCATAACAGCATCAGAAGACCTTCACCCCAAGGTCATGGCCTATGGGGCTGGCCGGCCTCATCAGCCATATTAAGAATATAGCTAGCCATATCATCTTCAGTGGGGGCATCTGACACTACCCACGATTCATTTGCTCCAGTCATCTGTAGGCGACAAATAGGGCAATTCCTGTGTCGATCACTCCTGTTAGAGAAGTCAAAGAACAGTTTGCTTTCTTTTCTTTTTTTTAAAAAACAGATTTGTTTGAAAAGTAATACATGTACATGGCTTTTAAAAAAGTAAACAGTGGTAAAGATACCTCGAGACAAGTGCTGGGCATAGAAGCCACAGGGCATAAATCTGCAAAGAAGTAAAAAGCTAACCTTTGCAAACAATATGGCTTCTCTCTCACTTACCAACTTTACATTTCCCTGTATGGCCCCGGAAGATGACTGGTTAGCCAGAGACGGGTAAGATTCCTCAAGGGAGGAACAACCTAAGACAGGCACAGTCGCAGGGGGGCCATCAGGTGAGAATTTGGGGATCAACAGAGGTGAGGCTCAGAACCTCACCCCCCCTGCTTTGAGAGAAATCTTCTGCATCCGTGGATGTCTTGCTGCCCTTGTCTAGCCTGGATTAATACTTAGTCCATAGGCACACACCTGATCATCTGATCATCTACATTTGCCTTCTTACAGCACTAAACTATGTTTTCTACCTTTATCTTGCATCTACCTACCACTTCAGCATTTTATTAAAAATAAAAATAATAATAATAATAGGAGAAATGTGGGATCAACATATAAATCAAGTACAAAAATCAAATGAATATTCATATTTGACCTGATGGTTTATAGGTCATATTGCATGATCAAAACCGAAAGTTTCTGTGATGANCAGGAGTTGGGAGGGGTGCAAGTTGTAGCACCCCAAAATCTCATGACTATAGACTATCTATGGTTAAAAGAACATATGGGATGTGAACAGATCCCAGAAATGGGCTGCTTTAATTTGTCTGATGGTTCAAGTACAGTTGGAAAATATCCATCATATCATAGATAAATTTTCACAAATGCCTAGGGTGCCTAAATGGTTTTCTTGGCTTCACTGGAGATGGCTGGTAATTATAGATTTGCTTTGTTTATGTCACCGTATTCCTATTATGTTAATATGTGTGTGCAAATTAGTTAGTAGTTTAAAACCTATACATACTTAAGGTACTATACAAGAAGATATGTCAAAGAAATAATCAATCCTCCCAAGTTTCCTTCATATGCTACATCTATAGCTTTTCTTCTTCCTTCCTAATTACAAACCTTAAATAGAATTCGTGCCTCATATCGAATTTACCGAGTATCATAATTCCTCCAGGTGGTAAAGATACCTCGAGACAAGTGCTGGGCATAGAAGCCACAGGGCATAAATCTGCAAAGAAGTAAAAAGCTAACCTTTGCAAACAATATGGCTTCTCTCTCACTTACCAACTTTACATTTCCCTGTATGGCCCCGGAAGATGACTGGTTAGCCAGAGACGGGTAAGATTCCTCAAGGGAGGAACAACCTAAGACAGGCACAGTCGCAGGGGGGCCATCAGGTGAGAATTTGGGGATCAACAGAGGTGAGGCTCAGAACCTCACCCCCCCTGCTTTGAGAGAAATCTTCTGCATCCGTGGATGTCTTGCTGCCCTTGTCTAGCCTGGATTAATACTTAGTCCATAGGCACACACCTGATCATCTGATCATCTACATTTGCCCTCTTACAGCACTAAACTATGTTTTCTACCTTTATCTTGCATCTACCTACCACTTCAGCATTTTATTAAAAATAAAAATAATAATAATAATAGAGAGAGAAATGTGGGATCAACATATAAATCAAGTACAAAAATAAAACGAATATTCATATTTGACCTGATTGTTTATAGGTCATAATGCATGATCAAAACCAAAAGTTTCTATGATGAATGCCCTTATACTGTTCACCATGTAAGAATTTATTCACTGTGTAAGAATTCGTTCACCATGTAAGAACTTGTTCGTTATGCTTCAGAGGATTGGAGACTGACGAGAATTAGGCTTGAGATGGATTAATGATTGTACATTGAGCATTGACCCCCACTATACTGAATTTTACTGTTGTTAACAACCATTTGATCAATAAATATGAGAGATGCCCTCTCAAAAAAAAAGAAAAACTTACTAAATGTAATGAGAGGCCCGTATACTATGACCCCCCTATACTGAATTTTATTGTTGTTAACAACCATTTGATCAATAAATATGAGAGATGCCCTCTCAAAAAAAAAAAAAAAAGTAAACAGTATAAAAGTATACAGTGAAAAACAAATCTCTCCTTCTCATCCCAATCTTTAATTCTTATCCCCAGGGCAACAACTGTTTCTGTATATAGTCTTTCTGAATATAGTGTGAACCTGTTTCTTATATAGTCTTCTAGAGGTAGACTAAGCATGTTCAAGATTGGGTATATGTATACATCATTGCTCTTTTTACTTGTCAATATATCTTGTTGTTATATTATGTATCAGCACATATTAGAGCTGTCTGTTCTTTTTAAACATACACCATATGGATAGGCCATAATTCATTTAATCAGTTTTCTACAGAAGGACATTTAGGTTTTTTCCTGCCCTTTGCTGCTACAAACAACAGAATGGAAGCATTCAAGATTTAAAATAAAAGATGAACTTTACATGCAGAATAATTTTTCTGATTATGTTTTTTGAATATTTAAATAAGATTATGTTTTCCAGAGGGTTTTTTGGTCTTGTCAAACATTATTTTGGAAATTTCAAAAATGCCATATTTGAGCCAGAAACATGTCATGCAGAGAAAATGTTTTTTTCTTCACCTCTCAGTGAAATTACCAAAGTAATTATATTATATCAATTGCTGCTTGGCTTTGGTGCAGAAATTTAGAAATCTGTTCCAAAAAGTAAATGTGAAAGCCTAGAGCTTTTATATTATTCAGACTCATTTCTGGTTACTCAGAGACATTTTCCAAGATAATTATGTATGCTCTTCTGTGCACAAAAGTCATGATTTTTAAACACCTTCTGCTTTTTCGCCAATAGGGACTAGATTTACCTTTCCACTTAAAACAATTAAAACACAGGACAAAGTACATGAAACAATGGTTTCAGAATTGGACATCACATGATAAAGGGTGATAATCCCTGAGAGATGGGAAGCAAAAGTGAGCCCTGTAATTGCCCAGCTTACTGCCTTGACAGTTGTCAGGCCATAAAGCAAGCAGGGGAAACTTAGATGGAGCCTGGCAGACTCCATGAGTTGAAGGGAGAGACAGAGCTGAGAATCCTAGGGGGCTAAGGCAGCTAGAGTTCACAGGGCAGAGTACTGAAGTGGAGAAACCTGCACAAGGAAAAAAACTCCAAAATCTTCCAAAGGTCCCCCTAGAATATATTCAGCAGAGTAATGATCATTGTGTACAGGTGGAAGAAACTACTCGAGGATGAAGAATCACCAGAAAGGATTTGAGGGAACAGTACCCAAAGCTACAGGGCCTGGGATGTTGTCTATTCCCACCAGTCAGACTGGAAAAACCTCAGAATTCATGGACTATTGAATAAAGTGGGGCCTCATTAGTGGGGCATAACTGGCTCTAAACTGCTCTGGTCTTGTCTAAGAAATCATAAAAGCAAGACCCAAAAGGATCAAACTGTTTCTAAGTTACTATGTTCCAGAACAAAGCTTAAAGTTATTTATAGGAATACAAGAATATCCAGCACCCAAAAAGGTAAAAGTCACAATGTCTGGCACTCAGTAAGAATTATCGGGAGTAAAAAGAAGCAGTAGAAACAACCCAAAATGAAGAGAAACATCAATCAAAACCAAGGATGTTACAATTAGCAGACAAGAAAATAAAGGTTATGATAACCATATGTTTATCTTAAAAAAAAAAAAGCTAGAGGAAAGAACAAGCATATTAAGAGATGTGGAAAATATAAAAAAAAAAATCAGGCTTTTAGAGATGAAAACTATAATATCTTAAGTAAAAAATACACTGGATGGGATTAATGACAAGTTAATAACATTTGCAGAAAAAGGATTAATGAATTTGAAAAAACACTGCAATATTACCTATCCAAAGTAAAACAGAAAATGGCTCAAAAAAGAAAAAAAGGAAAATAGCAGTGAGCTGTGGGAAAACTTCAGGTGGTCTAATATATATATATATATGTACCTGGAATCCCAGAAAGAAAAGGGAGAGAACAGAAAAAAATATTTGAGAAAATAATGATTGAATATTTTCCAAAATTGATACTATAAACCTACAAATCCAAGGAGCTCAATAAACATGAAAAAATCTACTTTTTTGATTATGACATATTATCATCAAACTGCTCAAAACCACTGATAAATTAAAAAGAAACCTCACAAGCAGCCAAAGGAAAAAAAAGCACATTACAGATTTATCATAGAAAACAACACAAGAAAAATGAGGCTGGAAAAACATCATTTAAGTACTAAAAGAAAAAAATACTATCAGTCCAGAATTCTATATCCAGTAAAAAAGACCTTTGAAAAATGATGTTCAGACATTCAGAAAAATCCTACTGAATTTAGAAAAAAGCTCTCAGAATAAGTGAGTTTTGTAAGATTGCAGGATACAAGATTGACATACAAAAATCTATTGTATTTCTACTTACTAGCAACAGCCAGCCAGAAACTGAAATAATACCATTTGGAACAGCATAAAAATATAAAATACTTAGAAATAAAACATATGCAATACTGAAAACTACAAAAATTGATTAAAGAAATTAAAGAAGACCTAAATTAAGGGAGAAATATACTGTGTTTGTGAAGAGAAGATTGTCTTTTCAGTAAAATTTGCTGGAACAACTAGATAACCATATGTAACAAAAAGAATTTTATCTTTTTATCTCATACCATATACAAAATGGATTACAGACATAAATGTAAAATCCCAAAACTACAAAACTTTTAGGAAATAGAAGAAAACCTTTGTGACCTGAGTTAGACAAATATTTCTTAGATATGACAGTAAAATCACTAACAGTCTGATAAATTGGACCTCATCAAAACAGAAAAGTTTTCTTTGAAAAGACATTCTTAAGAGAATGAAAAAACACATCACAGAGTGGGAGAAAATATTTGCAAACCATGTATCCGGTAAAGGACATATATCCATCATACGTGAAGAACTCTCAAACTCAACACAAAAACAATCTAATAAAGAGATGGGCAAAAGATTTGAATGGACTCTTCACCATAGAAGACATGCAGATGGTAAATTAGCATATGAAAAGATGCTCACCATCATCAGTGAGCAGGAAAATACAGATTAAAACCACAATGAGATAACACTACACATCATTAGTATGACTAAAATTAAAAGCACTGACCATGCCAAATACTGGAAAGATTGTGGAATTGCTGGAACTCTTACCACTACTGGTGGGAGGGTGAAATGGTACAACCACTTTGGAAAACAGTCGGCAAGTTGGCAATTTCTTAAAAAGTTAAACATATACATACCATATAGTAAAACCATTCTAATTCTAGGTCTTTACCCAAGAAAAAAACAAGATATATGTCCATAAAAAGACTTGTCCACTAATTTACAGCTTTATTTATAAGAGCCAAAAATTGGAAACAACCCAATGTCCATCAACAGGTGAATGGATAAATAAGCTGTGGCATATCCATATAATTAGTATTTCTCAGCCATAAAAAGGAACTATTGTATTGATACATGCTACAACATGGATAAATCTCAAAATAATTATATTGAGTGAAAGAGCCAGACAGAAAGAGTACATACTATATGATTCCATTTATAAAAATTCTAAAAAATGCTAATTATTTTATAGAGATGAAAGCACCTTAGTAGTTATCCAGGACTGGAAGTAAGGGGTAAGAAGGAGATTTTATAGTGGGGCACAAGGTAACTTTTGGGGGTGATGGATTTGTTTTTATCTCAGTTGTGATAATGGTTTTTATGGATGTGTACATATATCAATACATCAAATTTTACTTAAAATATATGTACTTTATTGTATGTCAGTTATAAATTTTCCTAAATGCTTGATTCTTATTTTGTAAAATAATGAGCTTGACTAGCTGATCTCCAGGTCCAATATTAAATAGTCAAGGATTCATATTATTCCTTCTAACCATATATACAGGAAGAATGTAGAAATGAGGAGAAAAATAGAAGAAAAAGGGAGACATATGATTCTAGATTCAAGTCAGGCACAAATTTCCTTAGAACAAAAGTAAATTGCCAAAAGTTAATTTACATCCCACATTTTATAAACTTTCGGTACAAAAATAAAAATATTTTAACCAGTAGAAGGTATGTCATAAAATTTAGAGTACTAAGCAAAAATCTCTTAACTACAGTATTTCTGTATTTTTCGAAGCTTATTCATATCTACTTTAAGCACTTCATACACACTTACACACTCTCCCATTTACCCTTTGCCTATCCCTGAAGGCAGCAAATAACTTACCATTTATCAATGCACTTCTGACAAAAGCTGTGAGTACAAGGCAGGATGAGGTCAGCTCGACCGTCCATACAGATACAGCATTCCTCCTCATCAGTCAGCTGCTTCACCCTGCAGTGGGGAACTGAGCTGGAGCAATGATAGTCTCTACTGTCATTATACTGTAAACCTTATTTCCACTGCCTGAAAAAGCATTATAAATCTATGTGCCCTCAGTATAAAGCACAATATGACTTGTGCAAAATCAAAGTAAATTAACATATCTTTTAGGGATAGCAAATATATTAAGGAAGAAGTACTAACAGGGACAAATTTCATAAAGACTGGATAAAAGACAATTCTGTGATGGTTAAAAAGAAAATACAGACAAAAGCTGGAAATATTCCAGTCTTTCTGAAAATAACTTAGCCCATTTTAATAATATTGAATTTATATAAACAAGTTCAACCAATATATGATTTATTCACCATTCAGGACACAAAGCTCTCTAAAATGTGGACTTTGCCATTAGGGCATTATCATTATGATGCTGATGCTGACAGTGGGCATATAAATGAAAGAATGGCTTAGTCTTAAGTGGCATGTGATATAGGAAATACCAAAGAATTAGAAAGCAAAGTCTCTATCCTTAAGCAGCTCTTTCATCTTGGGAAGAAGACAGATGCTGAACCTTCTACTCTGGTCACAATTTGGATTGCCCCTCAATGAGCCATGTGCCTTTGCATGTAGTGTTTTCCTTTCCTGGAATGCCTTTGTGAGGTTGGTAAACTCCAACCTCTAACTCAGCTCTAAATATCATCTTCTCTCTGCTCTCCAAACCTTAATTTGCCTTAATTAAAGGACTTAAATATTGCACTAAAACTGGCTGTTTATTGGTTGGTCTATCCATAAACTGTAAGCTCTTTGAATACAGGGAGTTTGTCTTAGGTTCTCAATAAATGTTTCCTGAAGTGATCTTAATTTGCTTTTACCTTTGTGCTGTTCTGCAGTTTTTAGGTTTTCTTCACCAATCTTCATTCATTACTTTTATAATTATACAAAAACTCAATGTTTCAAAGTATAATCACTAGACTATAAGCTTATTAAGGGTAGGAGCTCTCTCTAACATATCTTTATTCCCTGCTGTACTTATAACACTGAATATAAGATGAGATAGCACCTTAAAATTTCAATTTGAACATAAAACAGAATAAAAGCAAATGTCAAATGTGCATCACATGTAGTAAGTGCTAAGTAAAGAAGGAAGAAATGAGTATATTTCAAACTTGTTGGAAAGATGTGGTAGAAAATGATAGGACTTTGACAGGACATTCTAGATGAATAAACAAAACTGCAGTTAGAAAAAAAAGCCTCTGCTTGTGTGTGGGTATATGTGTAACAAGGAGGCTGGCATTATGTGGCAGGGAGAAGAATGAAAGGGTTGATTAAATATAGCAGAGATAATATGGTCATTAAATGTCTAAATAATAAATTTAAACTTGTTCTGATAGACAAACTAGAATCAGAGTTTGATCAAAAGGGAAAGTGAACCCCACTGAAATAATACTTAGGAAGATTAATTAGGAGTGCAGTATGAGAGACTATTTAGAAGAAGGAAAACCAGCTACATCCATATTTCAGCAGTTAACCTGGGAGATAATTAGGGCCTGGTCTAAGGAGTATTACAGAAACAAATCATCAGGATGTGGTAATAGATGAAATGTTATGCTTTTGTCATGGGCAAAAGGCAGCCACTGAATTGAAATGGAGAAATTGCATGAAAATGTAGAATGATGTGGATCTAATACGTATTTAATTTTTTTGTATAAGTTCAACTCAACATTTAAGTGCCTTTCAGAGGGTGCTATGTACTATGCTTGACCCAGATGAACTGGAATCTCTGCTTTTGAGGAGCTTACAACTTATATCTAAAGAGATATGTGTGTACATATATACATATATACTGACTTGGGTGTCAGTAGCAGAGAATATAATTAAATTCATAAAAAAATGACAAAGTTCTGAAGATTAGAGTTTAAAAGTGAGGAGTAGAGGGCCATGAAGAACTGCATTCCTGATAGAGGTCAAAGAAAGAACAGGAGATAGAAGCAGCCAGTGGAACCTGTGCAGTGTTCATGTGATTTTCTTGTTACCTTCCTAGCAGTACAGGGAAAGGAAGGAGAGTCTTGCTCTATTTGTCCTTGTTAGATCCCTCGTAGAGTATTCAGTTCTATGCCCCCTATCCTGAAAGATATATTGATAGATAAAGGATCATTCAGGAAAGTCTCTGGGATGTAGAAGAGACCTATTTGAACAAAGGCCAAAGGAATTGGGGATGCTTATCTTAGAGAACAGAAGCTCAGTGAGAATTTGATTACTATTTTCAAATATTTGAAGGGCTGGAAGAGAGAACAGATTTATTTGGTGGACTTCCAGAAGGCACTGCCACAAAAATAAGTAGAATATAGTAATAATTTAATAATACTGATAGTTAACTCATATTATATGCCAGGCATTGTTCTAAGCATTTTACATATATTGACTCACTTAACTCTCTCAAGAGTACTATGAAGCAGATATTATTGTTATCATTTTCTTTTAAAAGAGGAAAATGAGGAAAGAAAGTTTAATAACTTATCCAAAGTCCACAGGAGTAGAGCCAGGATTTGAACACAGGTAATTTGGTTCCAAAATCTGTGGTGTGCTGCCTCAAGAAAGCCAGATTTTGGCTACTCTGAGGAATTTAATAAAAAAGGGAAAATGTCATAGTGACTAGAGCTATTTATGTATAAAAAGGCTTGCTTCTCTAAGGCAGTGAATCCCATATAACTGCAGGTGTTCAAGGCAAACTGGATTACCGCTTGGCTAAATGTAGTAAGAATCTTACTAATCAAAGTGTTATCTGTGGATTAGCAGCAATGACACCATCTTGGAGCTGATAGAATCTCAAGTTCCTTCTTAAAATCACTGAATATAAAAGTTTAATAATTGTAGTACAGGATCTTTATGTACCAGATGGTAGTAATGGCAAAGGTTAGGAGCATGGCTATATTGCCAGACAGGCCTGAATGTGAATCTCAGCTAGGCTAATTTCTAGCCACATCACTTTATGTCTAAACCTCAGGCTCTTCATGTGAAAGGGACCAATAATTGTATTCCCATGGGGGGTGTTGTGAGCTTTAATGAGTTTATAAATGTAAAACGCTCACTATAATGGCTAACACCCTATAAGGACTCAATAAATGTAAACCACTAGTAGAAATATACATCAAATGTGAGGTTCAACCAAATAAATACCTCTTAATACCTCTTAAGATCCCCTTCAACTTGAAAAGTCTGTTTTTCTATGAACAGACTTTTCTAATGTATACATTAAATACATTAATGTAAATAGTCTGTTTTCTAATGTACAAGGGTGTAACTAAAAAGCAAAACAAAGGAAAGAAGCAGCCGTAACCTACCAATCAGGTATTGAGTTTCCCAGTCTTGAGGGCACATGACAAAGGAACACCCTTACCTCTTTCATTAAGAAATTGCAACAAGAAAAAAAGCATTACTTTCATTTGCTACCATAAAGCTTTTATACACTGGTAAATACTATTCTCAGCTTTCAAAATACTTTTAAAAATAAAAAAAACACCATTCTGAAGGAGAAGTAAAAAAAGAATACCGGATACTTGTCTATGAAAGATTAACTTTATAAAACACAGGAAGGATAAGCCTAGACACTGCCTATATTGTTCTAAAACTCATCTGGCATTTCAGTAACACTGTACAACCCAAACCTAGAAACCAAACAATCCTATTAAAGACAAACAGAAAATGATAAATATAAAGTAAAATTTTACTACAACATAGTATTTGGAAACCAATTTGTTAAGAATGGAGCAGAAAAATGCAACTTAAATGGAGAAACAGAAGTGAATTCTTGTTAGGTAAGGTAAAAGACACTGTCAATACAGATTGCTGCTGTCTACCGAGCATGACATTAAGACAGGATGTCAACTTGTTGGGATCCACGTAAGGCTTTTTCCAATGAGGTGTTTACAAATTTAAATTATGGTCATGGTTGTCAAATGGCAACAGGTGGGTGCTTTCACATGCCAAAAGCATTACAGAGAAGGAAAAGAAATTTTAGAAAGAACAATAATACATTAAACCTGAGTAAACAAGCACCATCACACAGAACTCTGGCTGACTTCATTTCCTTCTGGTAACTCAGCATATGCAGTATGTGCACCAGCTACTTGCTCATTCCTGAATGGACTGCCAAGTCCTGGAGCCAATATTAAAAATTTTAATGCTCCACAGAGAATATAGTCAATAGTTCTGTAACATGCTTCTATGTTGACAGATAGTAACTACACTAGTTGGGATGAGGATTTAATGATGTGTATAGCTGTTGAATCACTATGTTATATACTTAAAACCTATATAATATTGTATATCAACTATACTTCAATAAAAAAAAAATCACAAAAATTTTAATGCTCCAATTAGTCAGGTATTTGTAAGGAAAACTGGAATGGTTTTGCCAAATTCTTGGACCTAATTACCTGTAGGGCTCTGACTATCTAAGAACCTAAATGCTAATTGTAAGAGGGGCAGTAGCTATATCATTTGTCATTAAACACAAACATGTACAGTAGAGAGTGCATTCATAGAAGCTGGGTTGACAGAAACATCGCATGATATGAGCCACTTTACTTTTTCTTTAATTTGGCACTCTAACAATGTCTTGAAGCAGAGAATAATCCAAAAACTGATCTGGGATATAGTATCAACTGAGACAAAAAGTAATGTGATCTAAGATGTCAGAAAGAGCACCAGGAAAAATATTACTGAGATTTAGTAGCTTGCATATTAGAAAATAAGAGAAACATGGTACTTAAGCATTTGTATACCTTCTCATCCAAAAACTAGCTTGACAAGATGCTGCAGATGATAAATTTTCATCAGGGTCTTCTGAGGTGGAGCTCTGTGCCAATACTCCTGCTGCTTGACTTGTGATGTCTTTATAAAGCTGAATAAACTGGTACAAATTCATGATCCGTGATGCTTCCACAATGCCACTGCTTTTGTTAATCTAAAAATACGAAGAAAATGAAAAAATAAGTTGATAATTTCTCTGATGAATTATTCCCAAAAAAGCGGAACAAATATTGAGTCCAACATTAGGAAACAGAAGTTTTCAAGGTTTGCAAACTACCTAGTGAGAAGAGAGCAAGAGTCTAAGCAATGAATCGTATCACACCTCCTACATTTGTGTGTTCCAAAGTACTTACAAATTTGTCTCATTTGATACTCAAAATAGCCCCGTAGGGTTGATTAGGCATCCTGTTTAGAGTTGATGAGATCCGGTGACTTTCTCAGACTTAAATGAATTTTAGAGATCAGAATTGACAATTCATAAAGAATTTCTTAGAGGATTTGTTTGAATCCAACAACCACATGCCATTGTACCATAACTGAAACAACAGATTGCTTTCTTGAATATCTTAAGTTCTATTTTATACCAAAACTTCCAAACTAAAACAAGAAAATTAATTAAAGTAAATCCTAACAAAAAGTTGTTGAATTTTTCCCACTAGATTATTTTGAGCTTTAGCAAAAACTCATTTAATATGAAGTGGAATCAGTGGCTCACAGGTTGTACCTTTCCCTACTCTAGCTTACATTCTTAATGGAAGGAGGTATTTGGGACAAGTGCAAGGTAATAGATAAGAAGAGAGAATATTGCTCTCATAAGACTTGGAGAGTTATGGAGTGGAACATATATTCCTTTTTTGAAATGACCAAAGCCAGTAGAGTTGAGGGCGCAATATTTTTGGATGAAGAATTTTAAGTAGTCAGTGACAGCTCAGGAATGTGAAAGACTTGCTTAGCACAGGAGATGGTTTGGAAGACTGTGGCAACAGAAGTAAGCAATGAAACCTATTAAGTGCTTATCAAAGTAAATGGAACAAACAAAATTAGAAAATATTTAGGAAGAAATGAAGAATGCAAGGTGAAATACAGACAGAGGGCCTTAAAATTGTGAATGAAATAGGTTCTGAAGTGTGTTAATGGAACTGGAGATAAGAGAAAATCAAGTAGTTAAGTTACACATTAAAAAAACATTACTTAGCAACATTTCAGTATTTGAAATGAAATTAATCGTAGTTGTAACTCACATGTATTATTGTCTACTAATTGAAAAGGTGGTGAGAAAAAACTGAGAAACAAGCATGAATCAGATTCCATATTGTAAAAATGGTTGAACCATCTTTAATAATCAGAAAAGTAATTGAATTTTGGGAAGGTAAAATCTATAGAGATGTAAATATGTAAGATTCTTTGTAAGAAAAAACTATATGGGGATAGAGAACAAATAAATAGAATTAAAGGTGATAGGAACTTATAGAGGCTTACAAAATAGACTTTCAGAACTGAAGAAACTGGGCCCATCTTCCTTTGGAACTCTATAGTTCAGCAGAAATTAGGGAATAATTCATATAAAATTAGTATTTAATAGCAACGTTTATCAAACTGAAACTATTATAGAATTCATACAACAAATATTTACTGAGTACTCATTATGTCAATGTTGTAAGTACTATGTGTACTACACTAGGCACTGGTAACAGAGTGTGTAGAGAGCAGACGAAAATGCCTTGCCCATACAGAGGTTACAGTGCAGGGCGAACAGACAGACAAATACAATACAAATTAGGTAAAATGGAAATAAGTGTATGGAGAAGATTCAACAGAGGAGAGGTAATGCCAGAGGGTTATAGGGAAGACCTCATGAGAAGGTGACATGTAAGAACTGGAAGAGGTACAGGAAAGAATCATGGATATCCAGGGGACAGATCCTTCCAGGCTGAAAGAACAGACAGTGCAAAGACTATTAGGCAGAAGTGTATCTGGAAAGGATCACAAGGAGTCCAGCCAGGAGCCCAGGGCAGTTGGAATAGAATGAGAGAGGGAGGTACTGGCAGGTGATGTGGGGACAGAATGTATAGGGCTTTGTGGATCACAGCAATGACTCTGGCTTTTATGCCAAGTGCATGGGAAGGCACTGAATGGTTTTGCACCAAGAAGTAATATGATCTGATATCATTTCAGATTATGAGTGGAATAGACTGGTTGTTGTACTAAGACTAGACAGAATGGAGGTAGGGGCAGAAGCAGAGAGACCAGTTAGGAGGCTATTGGAATAATCCCAGTGCAGGATGATGTTCACTAGAAACAGTGTGGTAGGAGTGGAGATGATGATAACTGGCCAGATTCTAAAAGTATTTTCAAGAGAAACCTGACAGGATTCAGTTATGGATTCACTCTGGGGTTTGAGTGAAAAAGAGAAAGATTACTTCAAGGTCTTAGTCTAAGTAACAAGAAGCACGAAAATAATATAATTCATGAAGTTTTTTAACAGCCATCTTAGTCCATAATTTTAATTAGCCCATTGATTTTTCTAATGTTATTCCCCTAAAATACTCCATTTAAACAGCATTTAGATTATTTTATAATGAATTAAATATTGTTGGAGGATAATCATCATAGTCAAGATAAAGTCTTACTACAAATACAGGTTATAACACAATTGTTCCTTAAGTTGTTAATAATTAAGAAATATGAAATTTAAGTCTCCTATCAGTTTTTCATATTGAACTTCAACTACTTTTCTAATATAGGAACTGACTTATAGATTCTTTCAAAAAGAACATAAGGAATGCAAAAAACATTTTTTTCAAGTAAATCTAAAAATCAAGAAAAGTAACACAAATGAAATATCAGATTGGCTGTATCTTTAATACTTTTGTTTTTCTATTTAGAATCTTATTTTAAGGAAGATGCTTAACTACAGATGTAACAGATACTGAGGAAAACTGGAATTTGATTAATAGTAAAATTAAACATTCTGCATTTGCTGAAGGGAAATAAAAAATTAAGGGGTCAGAAACTGATACATTCATATTCCCAAAGCTTTCTACAATTTATACTGCCTTCTTCAATGTGAGCTAAATACTTACGCAATAAAGATAGGGAGGGAATGTAATTTAGGTACTATACTGCATCAATTAAAAAGGAAAACTTCAATCTATCCCAGTTATTTAAACTGAGAATATTTCTTCCATAGATTTTTGCTTACTCAACATATATTGAGTTCATACCAGGCAAAAAGTACTATGGGCTGTAAGACATACAGAATGAATCTAGATAGAGCTCTTGTTGTTAGGAGCTTACTTTCTACTAGGGGAGCTAAGAACCTAAATAAATAATTTTATTTGTAACAGAGTTTAATTTTGAAGTACAAATAAAGTGCTTTTGGGACCTAGAAGAGGCAAGAGAATTTCTGTTAAGGAAGATTTTATGGATGAGATGGTATTTGAAGCAGATCTGTAAAGAGATATTAAGTTTAGACATGCAGAAATTAAAGACGTGGCAGAAACTATTAGCTGATTACCCAAATCCCATTCCCGCTTTTCATTACCAGCAGAGCCTTGATTTTGTTTTCCTGTCTACCACTTCCTGAAATTACTCAGGAGTCAATCCTGGTAAATCTAACCTAAACACAACATGGTAATCACATCCCATCTGTCAGTGTAGGTATAAGAAGGGCTAATACTGACTCAATGAGTTGGGCAGAGGGATCTTTTATTAACCAATCCAGGAGCTACTTTTTATCAGGATTTCTTCATAAATGAGAAAATATTATTTTTCTTTAAACTGTGGAATGGGTTTTCTTTGATTTGTATTTTGTAGCTGATGACAATTTAACAGAGGAATGGACATCTAGCTGAGGGAACTCAATGAGCAGAAGCATTCAATGAGGTGGGAAAGTAACAGTTATACAGCCTTAAATTGGTTAAACCTGGTAAAACTAGAGTACAAAAGGGGATAGCGGTGAATAAAACAGAAAAGATAGTTTGAAGCCAGATTATAGAGGGCACTGAATGCTAGGTTAAAGATCTGGGCCTATTTTGTAGCCAATGAGGAATTGTTGAGGAATTTTAAGCAGGATAGTGATCTATATGATGGGAGTTGTGCTTTAGAAAGGTTAATCTCCCAGCATCATAAATTAGAATTAGGAGAAACCTGGAGGTGTAGAGACTAATCACAAAAGCCAAGGTAATAGGTTGAGAAGAAAGAGGGGCCTGAGCTATAGGTACGGTCTTCTGGAGGACAAATAAACTGGAAGTGAAACCCAACAGAGGTAAAATTAACAGACGGCTGATTACTGTGGAGGAGAGGGCAGGAAAAGGAGTAAGAATGTGTGTTTTTCAAGAACAACCTTTGTCACTGAAGTTATAAATTCACCCATATGCCCTTTAAAGTTGACTTTCAAATAGTCCTGAAAGATCATGTACAGTGTTAATTTTTTTTTTATTAAGGTATCATTGATATACAATCTTATGTTCAGGTTTCACATGAGCAACACTGTGGTTACTAGACTTCCCCTATTATCAAGTCCCCACCACATACCCCATTATGGTCACTGTCCACCAGCATAGTTAAGATGCTATAGTCACTACTTGTCTTCTCTGTGCTATACTGCTTTCCCCGTCCCCCACCCTATATTATGTGTGCTAATCATAATGCCCTTTAATCCCCTTCTCCCTCCCTTCCCACCCACCCTCCCCAGTCCCTTTCCCTTTGGTAATTGTTAGTCCTTTCTTGGGTATAGTGTAAGTTTGCAGTTTTGGGATAATGTGAGAGATACCAAGCCTATCTGAACGGATTTTACATGTTTTTAGCTCAATTGTTCATTTCTTCTTTACGTTATTCCTTTGCAAAGTCAGAGGTTGCAGATACCCAGAGTTCTTCTGGGACTGTTTATTTATAGCACTGTGAAAAAGCCCTAGTGAATATAAATATATAATATAAACCCAATAAAAAAACAAACAAAAACAGAAAATTGGAAGAATATGTAGTTGGTATACAATTATTGAGCCCAAGAATTGAAGTATAAATAACAAAATATGATCTTGGGTGAAGCTGTATTTCAATGTATATTCTGTTACTGTGATTTGTATACATTGTATATACTTACATTGCTACCTACACTAGAACTACATTAGCTACCTCTGTGATGAATAATGCAAAAAGTTTTTGAATAATGGTTCTCTGGCAGCTATCATATTGTTCTTTAACATTTGGACTTAAAAAAAATCAACTAAGCAAATGTTCAACATGGTAGACCCAACTGAATGGTATTAAACTATGCTGTGTATTTTCTTTAAATCAAGTGCCATTTAACTTCAGGCACTTAACCAAGTCTGGAATTATCTCTCCGTCTTTGCTTCTCTAATTCTCCTTGAATTCCTTTTCTACTCAAATTGATTAGAACTTCTAATTTGACCAGCTATCTGTCATCAGTCCTACTATGCTTAAAACATAGTAGTGACTGGTGATTACCATGAGGGAGGGACTGAGGTGGCTGGGTGGGGAGAGTGAGGACAAAGGGGCACAAAAATTCTCAATCATATGTTGGTCACAGGGATGGTAGCACAGCATGGAGAATATAGCCAATGATTCTGTAACACCTTTCTATGTTGACAGTAGCTGCACTAGTTGGGGTGAGGATTTAATAAATTTGGGTAACTGCTGAACCACTGTGTTGTATACTTGAAACCAATATAAGATTGTATATCAACTATACTTCAATAAAAAAAAAAAAGGCATAGTACTAACAATCAACCCAGTGGGGAAATGTGGCATATTATTTGGTAACCCCCAGGGTCCATGACAAAAAAAAGAAAAAATCTCTTTATCCAAGAGTTCTTTATGGGTTGCTGAGGAATAGAATTCAGGGTATTCATAAATACCCAATTTATTGTTTATATGCATATGGATAGTTTTATTGTTTTACAGCAGTCTTGGGATATGAGACCTAATAGAATTTGTTTCTTCACTTTTACCAAAAGATCTGTGTCCTTGAAAAGATTAAGAACCACCTGTTCTAATTCCATTGGTGGATGAGGCTTCCTAATATTCTATGATGGCTACCATTATATTTTTTAGCATAGTTAATATATTCAGTTAGCTAAACTTCAAAGATGAACTAAGAGACACAGTGTACTGATGGTAGAAAATCTATTCTATAGCTAAAAATTCCTTTAAAAACCCCCCAGAAACAAAGAGCTCCAAACTTTTCTAATGGATTTTTAAATTATTATTAAATGAATGAAACCTAGTGTTCTTAAAAGAAATGATCTCCTAAGATAACTTTAATTTTTAAGGAGTCATCTTAGAGCTACATAGGGTATCACTGTAGAATTCCACAGCTAGTTAGAATCCAAAGAGGGGTTAAAAGGTAAGGATGAGAGATTACTAACACTTTCCATGATTATAAAAATCTGCTATGTGGCGATTATACAACTAGTGAGATTCAAACAGTTAACCTGGAAGGCAATAACAATATCAAAACTATGTTTTATAAGACTTTATAAATAAATGTTAACCAAATTATTGAGATTTATTTCTACTATATTACACTATTAAATGCAGTTCTAAACACTAAAATAGTTTAAGCTCAGAGTTGGAAGTCTCTATCACTCTCACCTTGGTACAGACCACCCGTACAACCACTCTCCAAAAGGCAGAGGAATCAGACCCAGGTTGTACCTCAAAGAGAAGATGTTTTTCCTGGCCAGAAGCCACTTTAGCAGTTCTGAAAAGAGACAAGGACATTAATTAATTTTACAAAAAGTCACATAAATAATGGAGCTATGAAACCAGATTCAAGAAACACTTTAAAACAGAGAAGGAAATATGAAGAAAACACACCAAGACAAATAACAATAATGGGCCTTTAAAACCTTTACTTTTTTAGCATTTTACTTTTTTTCTGTTTTTTAGATCATCCAAATGGTAGTATCTGAGGCATTACTTCTGGGACCATATTCTTAGGGAGTAAAATTGAGCCTAATAATTAGATTCTTTAAACAGGGACAAAAATGTTTTGATTGTAAACATACAACTTAATTTCCAAAGTTTTAAAACCCAACAGCATAGTGGCATGATATTTATGACCCTTTTTTTTGTGTCATATCTATTATCTCAATGGTCTTTAAATTTCTAACAAGTCCAGGGAATCCAGCACTTAGAGTTTAGCTAGTTTCACTTATCCAAATTTTGACTACTGCCTCAGATGTACATAAAATGTGAAAAAATATTGCCCTTGGTTGACTCTTTCTTTAAACAACATTAACACACCTTTTGAAAAAGGTTTTTTTTTATAGATAATTTGGGACTGGATCAAACAAATGATTTTGAGACATCCTAAATATAGCTCAACTTTCCTTTCCCTAGCAGACTAATTTTAATTTAGAGAGCCACAGGATTCTAACATAAAAATCTAACACTTTAAGAGGACAATATCATGACATCAACAACAATTTAAATTAGTTCAAAGAAATACTTAAGGACTGCAGCTCTCTTTTATCATTGTTCACATTTCCCTCTGAGCACCAGTGCAGATATCACACTCAGAACTAAGTGACTTAGAGCTAAAAAAATTGAGGCCACTGAAAATTAAGCAACTAGCTCTAGAGAACAAAGTTTGCCAGTGAAAGTAATTCAGCTGTTTCAGTTCTCAGTTCTGTTTTCTAGCTATCAAGCCATGCTGCTTCTGTATGGATTTAACTCTGTAGTTCTCAGGCAGCTTTGTATTTGTGAAATGCCCAACTATGACCCATGGGAACTGGTTTTAAGAACCAAATCCACTCAGAAACATTCTTTCCTACAAGAAAAGGAAGATATTCTTTACCAACACCTCTGTATTGCACAGTAAGCTTAGCTTGTGGAAACTTTTATAGGACACATTTTATCCAAAAGGCAAAATTTTATAGTTAGTCTAGCTTTAGGTATTAAGTCCCCAGACACTCCAGTTAAAGTCATTGATCACTCTTCATAAAAGCTGAAACAATAAACATAAAAAAGCATTTCACTGTTAGGATACTATTAAATTCTCAATCCAATTTTACTCCCTAAGAATATGGTCCCAGAAGTAATGCCTCAAAACTACCATTTGGATGCTCTAAAAAACAGAAAAAAGTAAAATGCTAAAAAAGTAAAGGTTTCAAAGGCCCATGACCACATTTTTATTACAAAAGATCAGATAGTACACAAATATACATACTAAAACGTAAAATCTCCCTTCACTGCTCCCCTGTCCACCAACTCTCAAGACACCCATTGTGTATCTTTCTAGTTTATTTTCTATGAATTTACATATATATCCATACAGGATCCATCAACATATCTACACATGGTTTTTTAATGAATGAAATCCAGTGTTCTTAAAAGACATGATCTTCTAAGATAACTTTAACTTTTAAGACTTTAGTCATCATGATTAGCCAAAAATGTCTCTTATCATCCAATACAGCTGTCACAAAATTTAGAAGGAAGGTTCAGACATCCTACCCTAAACAATTAATAGTGACTATAAGTTTATATATGCATAAGTGGTCCCAGACTACTAGGTGATTTTGTTTGGCCATTTTTGGGTTTAAGGAGAGGTAATGTGAGATAGTGGAAAGAATATCAGACTTAGGGAGAGCTGGGTCTGCCATTAAGACTTGGGTAACTGTTGTATGCCTCAGCTGAAATGTCTAGCCCTCAGAAGAGTGCCTTGCATATACTATGTGCTCAGTGAATGTTAGCTAACTTGAACAGACTAAAGAGAAAACCTTTACCATCTCAATTAAAAGGCAGTGCCAGCAGAACAAAACACACAACATATGAAGAATGGAGGAGGAGGAATAAGAAGGGAGAGAAGAAAAGAATCTCCAGACAGTGTATATAACAGCTCAATAAGCGAGCTAAGTTAGGCAGTAAGATACTAAAGAAGCTAACCTTGAACCTTTGGTAACCACGAATCTAAAGCCTGCAATGGCAATAAGTACATATCTCTCAATAGTCACCCTAAATGTAAATGGACTTAATGCACCAATCAAAAGACATAGAGTAATAGAATGGATAAAAAAGCAAGACCCATCTATATGCTGCTTACAAGAAACTCACCTTAAACCCAAAGATAAGCATAGACTAAAAGTCAAGGGATGGAAAAACATATTTCAGGCAAACAACAGTGAGAAGAAAGCAGGGGTTGCAGTACTAATATCAGACAAAATAGACTTCAAAACAAAGAAAGTAACAAGAGATAAAGAAGGCCACTACATAATGATAAAGGGCTTAGTCCAACAAGAGGATATAACCATTCTAAATATATATGCACCCAATACAGGAGCACCAGCATATGTGAAGCAAATACTAACAGAACTAAAGAGGGAAATAGACTGCAATGCATTCATTGTAGGAGACTTCAACACACCACTCACCCCAAAGGATAGATCCACCGGGCAGAAAATAAGTAAAGACACACAGGCACTGAACAACACACTAGAACAGATGGACCTAATAGACATCTATAGAACTTTACATCCAAAAGCAACAGGATATACATTCTTCTCAAGTGCACATGGAACATTCTCCAGAATAGACCACATACTAGCTCACAAAAAGAGCCTCAGTAAATTCCACAATATTGAAATTCTACCAACCAATTTTTCAGACCACAAAGGTATGAAAGTAGAAATAAATTCTACAAAGAAAACAAAAAGGCTCACAAACACATGGAGGCTTAACAACATGCTACTAAATAATCAATGGATCAATGAACAAATCAAAATAGAGATCAAGGAATATATAGAAACAAATGACAACAACAACACTAAGCCCCAACTTCTGTGGGATGCAGCGAAAGCAGTCTTAAGAGGAAAGTATATAGCAATCCAGGCACACTTGAAGAAGGAAGAACAATCCCAAATGAATAGTCTAACATCACAATTATTAAAACTGGAAAAAGAAGAACAAATGAGGCCTAAAGTCAGCAGAAGGAGGGACATAATAAAGATCAGAGAAGAAATAAACAAAATTGAGAAGAATAAAACAATAGCAAAAATCAACGAAACCAAGAGCTGGTTCTTTGAGAAAATAAACAAAATAGATAAGCCTCTAGCC